TACCTACGGCAACTATTACAATTATTGTTAATATTATTTGTTGTTGTTGTATCAGCCATTAACTATCTCCTGCTGCTGGCTACCCCATCCCCCCCCCTGGTAAATAAATTCAGTTAAAAGGATGCTCTTGATTTCAATTCCACTCCACATAATTACCAAATAATGTTCTCACAAGACTTTTAGTCAATTTTACTTTACAAGATAAAATATCCCCAATGTCGGCGAATTTTTCGCGTGACTTATCACACGCGGTCATCTAGTAAACGGATGAAGAGCTAGCTGCCTCGTCGGTATCTTTTTTCGTTGATGTGATTTATTTTGATCGGGGACAATGACAGCAGAGACAACAGCATTGTGGCTTAGTGGAAATCTTGAGAGGGCTCTCTTGTGTTCAGATTAAAGTTATTTGCGTCAAAATTACCTACTGTGGATGAATGGTCTCATATGCTTAGATGATGTGACCAATCATATTTTTACTTAGAACGGGATAAGTTAAAATTATAGCTACATTGGTAATGGCCCAAAAATATTTTTACCAGACTTTAAAAATAAGCCAATTCGACTATACAATACATTTGTTAATTCATTTCTAAAATTTTACTGCCTTGTAAGTTCTATAATAAATCAGTTTCTTTGCTCTGTATTTTTTTTTAAACATGTATATTTTTTACAGCCTATTGTCTGATGTCTCAAGAAACTGGGAGAAAACACTAAAACATGGAATTGTATCGAATAACACGGAATGTATGGTCACATTAACATTGTTTAGGTATAAGCATCTTGAGCTCATAGACGTTGGTATAAAGTGCTCGTTTTATTTAAATTGGAGCCTCTTGTCATTGTAATAACGGTCTTAGTGGTAAGGATCAAAGGTAATAAAAATATTATTACTAAAACAATGACTCTGCATAAGCATACAGAGAATACATAAATGCATATTTCATGTTAGAGATTTGTGAATCTAAATAATCGAATAAAAGCAGCATTATTTGAATATTGAGGTTTTTCCAAGAGACTATAGCATGGGGTTCTTCAAAAAAGAAATAAAGGAGTTTCTTCAGGATCGGTAATGCGCGCCTAGTACCCATAGTATTATAGGCATTCATAAGTAATGCAGACATTGCTTGCTATTGCCCTTGGTACTGCTGGCGTTCCTAGGCTACGGTAACAGCTTACCATTAGGTGGGCTTTATGTTTGTTTGCTACCTCAGTGGTATAAAAAAAACATACAAAACAAGCTTCAGCTTCGCATGGATTTTTTTTTAAATAAAATACTACCCATGTTATTCCTTTATAATGTATTTTTAAATATGCGAAAGGATTTTTAAAATAGGTTACTTCCTATATTCATTACAAATGAATCAACAATTAAATCAGTTTTTTTTTATATTAGTTTAGATAAAAATTTGGTGCTCCTCGGTGTATTGAAATTTTTCTAATTTTGTCTTGCTGTTAAGCACATTGTTGATAAACACGTGTTAACACAGAGTAAAATAAGATTGAAACGGTCTCCGTACGGAATCATGTCTAGTGTGCAGGAAGACCATACATGGGTTGGTTACTTTTTGTACACGGTGGTGTATGCACCGTTATGCAGTGCCGTGATATCACATGGGTAATTACGTTACTGCTATTCCGATATTACGGGATACGACCGGCAGGGTTCGCAAGGAAGAAAATGAGATTTTTACTTCTACGATAGAAAACTATCAATAATGTGAAAACTATTGAGAATTACTGGGATATAGATGAGTTTCAGAAATGGTTTTTCTAAGAGACTACAGCATGAAGTTCGTCAAAAAAGGGGTAAATAGGTTTCTTCAAGTTCACCAATGCGCGCCTAGTACCCCTAGTATTATAGGCATTCATAAGCTACGGTGACCGTTTACCGTATGGGCCGTATGCTTGTTTGCCACTTCAGTGGTATAAAAAAAAATAAAAATCATAGAAAATTACAATTTAAAAGAGCTTTTGTATACTTAAAGTTAAGTCTACTTAAAGTTTATTTTGATTTGATTTGGATACTTTTTTATCTGAGTATTATATAGTTTTCGATCTATTTATGCTTGTTTGCAAAACAAACCACTGGTATGCTAACGATATAAGTATCGGATTGTATAATAATATAATATTTATATGTTTTTTTTTATTAAATTGTGTTATATTATATAATCAACCATTAAAGAATTCACACGGAATACTCGAGTTATGTGAAATAGATTATAACTGGATTATCATATAAAGGTCGACCAAAGGGGATTCCTCTCTTATGTTTACACATCGTGAGTCCGATGTTACAAGGAAAACATGTGAGAGGCATGTGTACAACAAAATAAACTGAAGATATCCTAACGTCCACAAAAGGACGAGGCTGAGCTAATCGTGTGTCGTGAGTCAAACTCGTTTCTCCGCCTCACCGCGTAAGAGAATTTATTTTAAGTTAAACATAGATCCTCTTGAGCGGTAAATATGTTGACATGCTACAAGTATAATACAATTATACAGTATTTTATAATAATCTGAGCGTCATGACAAAATGTGTGACTTTCGTGGAACTACCACTATTCCACACATGGTTTTTTCGTACCGAGGTCCCGTCTATGATTTCAGGTCGAGTCAATGTTTCTTACATTGAATAATTTTCTAAATTGTCTCGTGTATGAGTGTTCTGTTTCCAGATCTTTGTAACATTGATTCTAATATCATCATATAAAATTCATTAGTTTGTGGACCAGTAAAATTTTAAAACAATGCACAACATTTTATTTTATTTATTTATTAGAGCAACCATCAATACATACACTTGATTACAACTTTTATCTCAAGAATATAGTTCAGACATATAGTATTGGCTTAATTACTGGTTACTACGGCATGCAACAGGTTATAAAAAAAAAAAAAGAATAATTTGTTTATTTTAGCTAAAATAATATTTAAGATGACGTGCATAAATATATAGATATGCTTGAATATATGCTTATTTACTTCATATTAAAGAAAACGATTATTTTTTTTTTTATTAAAATGTTGTAGAACAGCAGATTCAAATGTTCTGAAACTTGCAAATCTGTCAATATATGAATTTTGTTATAATATTACAATTATTTTGCATTCTGTTAATGAAGTTGCGATCCTATGATGCAACGACAATTCTATAGGGTCAGCTATATGGTCTTTTGGCTAGTTTAGCCTAGCATATGTTTACTGATCGCGATAAAAAGCCTTTATCCTTCTCCATCCTACATAATACTTGTATATTAAATTTCAAAGTGATTCATTATGCCGTTGAAGTGCTGTAAAGTAACAAAAACAAACTCATTTTCTCATTTATAATATTAGTAAAGATTTTACATGGAGAACTCATATATGCCAACTGCATGTTTGCAACAATCTATTAGTAAAGTTTTCAATCAACCATTTCGTATATAAAACAATGTTAACGTCTCTCATATCATAATAAAGTATTAGCGTAAAGTAATAAAGTATTAAAAATATTAAAAATATAATATATTTATATTTATTCGGGTTAAAGAACTCATATCAGTACGATGGACCAATTCCACTTTACTACACTATCTGTGACCTTGTGATCTTTTGTAATTTTTTTTATGTTAAGTACCTATTTCATATTTACTCAATCATTATTAACATAGCGAATTCAAATATAATTATGTTGTATACTTGTTCTTGTAGCAATGACCTGTGATTTGTTTCAATGATTTACGTCTTTAGTTGTGTATATATATATAAACAGATAATAAACAGTCTGCATATATATTTTTCTTTATATATAGACTATATATAAAGAAAAATAAATAAATACGCTCACGATTATAATACCTAATGTGGTAGTCAGAAGCATTTGTCGATCGTTGCCATTCTGACGAAGGTAACCCTCGAGGTGCCCATATTTCGGCGAGTTTTTTACAATCTAACCATTATTAGTGTTTTCCATCAAGAGAGAGAGAGAGAGAGAGAGAGAGAGAGAGAGAGAGAGAGAGAGAGAGAGAGAGAGTCGGGATTTTTTTTATAAATTTTAGAGTTGTTTAGATTCGAATTTACGACATTCGGAGTCAAAGTTAAGATAATATACCACTAGGCTACGAGACATTCTCATATACAGATATACCTACAGTTAGATGCATATTTATCTATTCCATTTTTCATCACAATCTATGTAATACATGTGAACGCAAGGAGATTAATGTGACGTGTGCATATTTTATGTTAGCTCAGTCTGTATTGCTGCATACCGTAGTAACGCAGACTACTGAATATTTAATATTTTCAATCCCTTTTTATAACGCCATTTTGGTAGTACAGTTGTACAATGCCTGATTATTTAAGTAGGTATGCGCGCAATAAAGGCGATTGCAATGCATATCACATTCTCTATTTGGAGTAATTATTTTTGAATTAAATCGTTTTAGTTGTATCTAGAACTAAATATGGTATGCTTATTTATTGTTAAAATCAGAAATTATGATTCTGTCAGATCTTTTTTAAATCTTAGGGTATCTATTCTAAATTATATGTAAAGTAATTATCTTTCCATTTTTTTATGGTAATTAAACAGCAAAACCTCCCACGTGTAAAACATAACACTATAACTTACGGACCTGCGACTCTCTCATGTTTATATACATATATTATATATTTATTAAATGAATAAAAATTGAGTGCTAACAACAAACTTTGGCTAAACTGGGTATGCCTATCTATCAATGACGAATGAATGATAGATGAGGAAAAGTCAGGTCTATAGTTATGAATAACAGGACCTCATAGAGATTGACTTCATCACTATACCTTATTAGGTCGAGCACTATGCGTTCTTCGTATTGTTAGCTATTGGGATGCCAGTTTGATTTACTAACAGTTTCCTTCTGTATTATTTATATAGTGCATAGATTGCAAATAGAAAAATAAGTAAATTGTGTAGGTTTAAAGGACACATCTTGTAATTTTTGTCTATAACTAGTACTTTTTTGTTATTTCAGATGCAACGAACAATTTGATAGCTATAGCCGGCTCCGCACATGAGTACGGTGAAATTGCGGTACTAGTCAGGGGGCCACACGGCCTTAGTGCCAGACGGGAACAGCTGTTACATGTGAAGGGTGCAGAAGATGATGCTATCTCACTTTACTACAATAGAAAGACTAATAAAGGTGAGTAGGAATAAACGGGTGAGAATTTTATTTTAAAAGGAATTAATAATGAATCCAGCAATCTCATGAAACTGAATAATTGTCGCTATGAAAGTATATAATATGTCTATATATTATTTTATATTTATATTCAGAAATTGTTTTTATATTTAAAAACATGTTCATCGACAAAAGAAAGAAAGAAAGAAAAAAAGAAAACATTTATTGACAACAACAAAAAGTTACATAAATTATGAATTAAAAAAAAACTTTACATTTGTTATTGCCAACGTGGTCACCACTCAGCATGTGCTGCAGCAATTTAATTGCTACAGCTGTTCAGTTTCATGAACTGTAATGCTAAATTTCGGATCGTTACATCATTACCTTTACACCGTATATAAACTAATAGTTTTATTTTTTCCATTTCCTCCAGTCTCCTTAGAGAGCCTTAATGGCGGTTTCCTCAAGTCAGTATCGTGGGGTCTTGGCTCTCATCCACGAAGTACTCTTCTTCTGATAGCAGCTGAAAATAGAGTCAAGCTCTTTATCGGCTGCAACCCTCTGCATTGGCACACTATGTCAGGCAAACATGATCTGATTACTCTATTCCGAAGTCCGAAATTAAAATTGGTAAGTAATATATTACTGACAATAAAAAAAAATACAGATAAATATTTTTAATTCACTAATTCAATTCTATCGAAAACATTTTTAAAGTAATTATACTTTAATGAAATATTATTGACAGTTTATTTATTTCTGCCATGAAGCAGTAATAGAATAAAAGATCTAGAGACGGTATCCATAATAACGTTATAGATAATATGATGATACAGTTTTGTATAGTTTACTTACGTAGGAATAACAATTTCATATTTTTATGAGCGGCTGTTACAGTTTGAAGAGCCAGAAAATAGCCAACACAACTTCTGATACCTACTGTTATAACTTCTGAGGTTTCAAAAGTTGCAATGTATAACATAATATTATGATATTGTGCCTATCACTATACAAAATAATATATTATTTATTTTTATAGGGATGATTACCACCTTTCATCATAAAGTTGACTTGATTGTCCTAAATTAAGAATGATCTAATAAAAAATGTTTTCTCTACAATGTAGTATCATGAAGAAAATGCACCAGTCGAAGTATATAGCAGTGAACGTGCAGCTTTAGATTCTTTAAGTTGCAATATGAAAGAGGATTATATCAAACCACCTGCGTTACTTTCTACTGACGAAACTGACGTGGAGGAAGTTAAGGACTTCATAGAAAAGAATGCCGGAGTGAAAAGCGAAGAACAGATGCAGGGAGATGACTATAGAAATAATAATTACATCGATACTAATGGTGTACTCCCGCAACCTAACCCTCCGAATGATCAAAGAGGAGATATACCTTCCAGCATGATAGAAACTTGTGACGGTGAGTCTTGTTATTGGAAATTAATCTAATAAATCCATTGTTTCATGCAAAATATTTTTATTAACTTTATATTGGGTATGTCAACGCAGAGACCATATTTCACTTACAGGGTAAATTGTGAATAACAAGTAGAAGGATAATAACTTATTTTTAGACTTTCACCAAATTTTGTGATTTCAGATTTTATATTAAAGTTTTTTTAATTGTTTAAAATGAACTAAATGTGGTAGGGACATTAAACGAAAAGTCCATGACATTTCACAGATGAGGTGGTAAAACAGCTACAGTTATTGAGGCAGACCATAGACCATCTTAGAAGGGAAGTCGGCGAGCAGAAGGGTATTATAGACAACTTGCGCGGTCAGCTTCGTACTTGTTGCAGTTTGCGACCACAGCCGCTGGTTGAGCGATGCTCAGACTCTACGTGTTATCCTGGTTATTAAACTATATCACCTTTCTTTTTATTCTGAATCTTGGATATAATTAAGTCGAATATATCATACTAATGTCGAAAGTTTCTATTGTAATTAGGTTTAGATAAGTTTTTAAATTTACTAACGGTTTCAACAATTGTAATGTGAATTGATAATGTAGTTTCTTATAATATGATTTCTTCACATAATGGACAAAACAGATGCAACTAATAAACTTTTATACTATTTGTCATGGTTCACATATCTGTAGAATCTTTGACTAGTATCTTCTTGTCAGTGGCTACTCACGCGTAACATTCAAGTTCCATAAATAGTTACACTGTAGAAACAAAACTGTAATATTTAGTCGTTTATTTTCTATTTATTTGTTTTCTTCATTTTCAATATGAGTAATTTTTCTTTCATCTTTACTTTAAGATTTAATAACACATTTATTCTCATAATTCTTTGTAATTTTAGATAATGCATGTAACGTAACATAGAATTTATATGCTCGGTTTCTGATATAAATAATCTAAAATTAACTCCCATTAAATAATAATCCACATTTGTATGAAACTAAAGATATCCCTTTTATTTATAAGTGTTAAAATTTTTTTCGGTCGCTAAAAATATATGTATGTTGTAATCTTTTTATCTATGTATTTAACATTCATTGTTAAATTAGTTACTGACTACCTCGCAGCGAGATTTTTATACTTAAGGGGGATATTATGTAGCCTTAGTTTTAAAACGAGATGGTACTAAATATTAAGGTAAATCAAGCAACTTCTAATGTGGGTTTTGATTAAATCATTAAATAGATATCAACCGAGTTTTATTTCTAAGATCGCGGTATCCGTAGCGAAAACACAATAGTTATAGTCCCACATATTTGTCTACAGAGTTCTGTGTTGCACCCACGTAACATTGTGAATAAGTAAGTTGCTTGATTAGCCTTAAATTACTCATAAATATTAATGACGCCGAATAGAATATTGTTGTTGGGGCACTAAGTACTCTGTAGGCAAATGATTTAGTAAACAACAAGGATCTCGGTCACAAATAAATGTTGCATTATGTATGTTGCAGTTGCACCTACTTTAGGAGTTCATTTTTGTCAGAAGTAAAGAAAAAGCGACTAGTTGGATTCTGGTTTAATTATGACTTAGCTTTCTTACATAGAATTGAGGTGGAAAAGAACAATTGCAGTATTGAAATTAGAATATGTTTGCACGTTCGGTTTTTAAGCGGCTTCAAAAGGGTTCTCAATTTGACGGTAATCTTGTATATATTATTTTGTGTCATATTGTCGCCTATCCTGCACCAATACTGATGATTCATAGCCTAACAATATAGTTTACATTAGTGATAATCTTACAATCATTTCTTCGTCGTTGTGGTTGAAGTATATAAAGTTTTCTTCATATATTACATTTCATGCAATTCTAAGGAGTTATTGACTTCTATTTAACTTTGATCTCATACTCTGTCTATCACTTGTTGGAAATTATTATACAAATAGTGAGATTACATATGTACTGCGATTAAAAAAACATAGAATTTATACTGCATATTAGATATTATGAAACTATCAATTGTGAGTGATATATGAAGGAGCTAGATCGAAGAAGATGTATAAAAACAAGGCGTAATTAAGATTGACAACTGAAAAATTCTACAAAAAAGTTGACAAGATTGTAAACATATTTAATTTATCTAATTAAGGTAGTGAGAAATATTTAATTCCTTAATTGACTTGCTAATTTCGGGAGGATTGCTAATGTTTTATAAGACTTTCCTTAATTCTAAAACAATTGGGATTGATGGTAAAGGAAGCATGATTAAGAACGCCTACGAGACAGACAGACAATAGAAACTGTTTACAACTTTTGAGAGTTGAAATTGCTAATATTTTAGGTTGTTTTAAGGGTTATTGTATAATAATTACATTGACGAATAAAATTGTTAGAAAGGTCCTTCTTTATTCGGCACTAGCTTTTAGCCACGACTTCGTTTGCGTGACCAGATTATGATTACTGACCAGGATAAAAAGTAGCTATGTCCTTTTCCATCCCGTATATACTAAATATTATAGTGATTGCTTAAGCCACTAAGGCGCATAAGGTAACAAATAAAGGAATAATCTTTCAGGTATTATATATTAGGGTTTTATATGTTTGACTATTGATTTATTTGACAAATAGCTGTGCTGATATCTACACATACACACAATACGTTCTAAGCAGATGGTCAATTAGTTGATAGAAAGTGAGTGCCTTTTTGGGAGACATGACATGACGGACAATGCTCAACTTACATTACTAGGGACGTGTCCCACTCTTATTTTATATCTACATTTTTGGTTCAGTCACATTCTAGATGTAACGAGGTATTATAATAGAGGTTAAATGATTTTGCCTTATAGTGACATTATATCTTCAATCAACAGTATTGATGATTGCCGATCGAAGCCGCACATTAATTGTAACGACCTACATATTACAGTGATTTAACACATATTGCCTCACCTTCCGATGATTGAGATCGAACATATCCGTACAATACGAACATTTGTATTTATGAGTCAGTTTGTATTGATCAGGGTGTTACATAATAGATTTATATATTTTGTGTAGATAGACGGACAAACTCTTTTTATTACCATACCATATCGTACCATACCGTTAATTGTTCACCGCTGAACAAAGGGCTTCCCCTTTGAGTGTTTTTGCCAGTAGCTGCCATGCTTGGCAGGCGTTATTTTTGAGTTAGTCAGTTTAGTCAGTGTTTTAAGAGTGACGTTACAGGCTATCCCTTGACAATTCAGTTCCTTTAGTCACCTTTTACGACACCCACGGGAAAGAAAGGGATGGATCATTCTATTTTGGGACCACACGGCAACTCTTTATTGTTTCCTCCAAAAGATGTGTATGTATATAGTCGCAAAAAGTATTTTAATTTATCAATTATACTAAAGTGCAAGATCTGCCTTGTTATTAGTGACTAGATGATGTTGAGTGTTATATCTAGGAATATTTATATTATTGTGGAATGAAGACAAGTGTTCCACAAACAGGTGTGAAGTGCCGTGATACGGCGTCCGGTGTGGTGTGCGGCTCGTGCCCCAGTGGTATGGAAGGAGACGGCCGTCGCTGCAGGCCTATTCAATGTGACAGAAGACCATGTGCAAGAGGTTAGTTATATTTCTTAACACAGTGAAGGAGGCAAACATAAGATTTCTTTGATGGTAAGCGAAGAACATTTTGTACATGACTATTCTAGTGTACAAAATCTTCTTCTAGGACTGATGAGTAATCACCGAGTTCTAGGACACGGTAATGATTCATCAGATGAAATGTGGTAACCGTTGCCATAAACACATGACTATTGGAAGATATATGAACACCTTCGAGATACAGCAGAATTAACTGATTCAGAGATTCTTATCTTTAGTAAGCCTTGTATGTAGATTTTTTGACTGTTGTGAGTCTTCAAATTGATATATGTATAGTTGCTTGGCGTCAGAAATACAGTTTAGACAATCCATATTCAGACTACTTTAATATATTTAGTAGTTTATATTATAAAAATGTTAACTTCAGAATCTCAGAATTAACATTTTAACTCGTGACACACCCATATCAAAATCAAAATTTCGGGTGGTAAAATGAGTCATATTTTTATAACTACCTACTTTTGTATTTCTTTCCTGTAGGGGAGTATTGTATAGACACTGAACAAGGATATCGCTGTCAGAGATGCCCCGGCAGACAGACCAGTGATGGGCAGACGTGTATCTCTGCTTGTAGCTCTAATCCTTGCTTTAGAGGGCGTAAGTACTAATTGTAATATTTCACATAAAATGTAGGAACACTAGATATAAACAAAAATTGCTACGTCAACTTTCTATTAGCATTCTTTGTAAATAATTTTTTTCATATAGATATGAATTTATCATGGGAAAAGCACCTTTAAGAAGTTTAACTAGGCAATTTATGATACTAAACTATTTCCAATATATAGATAACATTAGACACGAGAGATATTTCTGTTTTTGTCTCTAATTTATTAAACAAATAAAGTTAAAATTAGGGAAACTTTAGACTCTCGGCTTTTACTAAAGTGCATAACGGGAATTTATCAATGTTTTTATTATTGTAGATGTGCAATGCCAGGATCTGCCGGACGGTGGTTACCGTTGTGGGCCATGTCCAAGTGGTTACCATGGCAATGGGGAACAGTGCTACAGACGCTCCTGCAGCCAGATATCGTGTTTTGAAGGTAAAAGATGGTAAATGTGTCTATCTCAGTCTTTAAATCGATTTGATCGCAATTCTTAACATAATGGTCAGCTAAAAGTAATTGCTTTGAGAATGTTAGGTGTCATCTTCAAATTAGTATTTAATATCTTCAAATATCTAGAGTTTATTATTTTACGTCTTTATAAATAAAGGTCTAATTTTTATTTTCTCAGGAGTAGAATGCCAGGAGACACATGAAGGCCCGCGCTGTGGCCCCTGTCCAAACGGTTTTAGCGGTGATGGTCAACGATGTGAACATGTGTGCGATACACACAGGCCGTGTGGCGAGAGACCCTGTAAACAGATCTCGAGCAGCCCATACTACGAATGCGAGGACTGTCCTCCAGGATATAAATGGCATGGTAACAGTTTTTGTTATTTTTGAGAATTTCCATAATAAATAGGATGATTAGCATAAAAAATATCGATTATGGGTGTTTTGATATATTTTCCCAAATATTGTCTTCTTATATTTTAGTTTTAGAAATAAAAATCGATGCAAGAAAATGGCACTAATTAAATGAACATTGATTGTAAATTCTTAGAAACAGGTCTTTATAGACTGGATTAATTGGAAATATATTATTAGGCAATCCATTATGTGAAATATTGTAAATTTGTTGAACTGTAACTATGAATTATTTTATGATCTCTATTAAAAATCATCTTAGTAATAAATTAATTTGGTATATAAGTATACATATAATGGCATTTTTAAATATATACAATTATCTTTTCTTCTGTTATGCACAACTGATGATTATTTACTTAAACGCACTGGCTTGTCGACTTTTTTGCAAGATTCATGATCTCCACGTAACTGACTTATTTTCGTCAGGGACGTGATATCATAATTTATTTATCCGTATGTCTAATAATGCCTCTCTTACCGCAGGTGGACAAAGTAGGTATAGTTCATTACAGAAATCAGTTTAGAGCACGAATGGGCTACAAATTTCCTTTATTATTTTGCGATACGTGTTTCACTTCTAAACAATGCGTCTTCAGACAAATTAAAAGTTCGTTGTTCGGAGCTTAGTATTAACAGTTTGTTCCAAACTGCGAATGACTCATTTTTAATGTTTAACATGATCAAAGAGATGGTTGCAATCGTAACAATTAAACTTCTAATCTGTTTTATTTTATATCATACTGTTTTTTATGCAACTTAGACAGCCCACATGATGGAACGTGGTAACCGTCGCCTATAGACTTGAGCAGTACCATGGACATAACAGACTATACTGTTTCGCCCATGACACTCCCCATGCGTTGCCATTCCAGAGGACTCAGGTGTTATTCCTATGTACCCTGTAATTTCACTGTCATATCCTACCCCTCAAACCGAAACACAGCCATGCAAACGCAACTGTTTTACGGTAGAAACTTACTTGTCTACACAGGCAGTTTGTTGCATCTGATGCTTCAGCAAGTTAGACTGGAAAGTTTATTGAACTGTATTATTGTAATGCTTCAAATTACCGTATTTTATCGTACCGTATCAAAGTACCGACTTTCACAGCAACTGACATGTAAACATTGTTGGCAAACTAATGCTTACGGTCAGCAGTAGCAGGAAACTTCTCAAAGTGTTGTCATAAACTCTGCGTCATGTTCAATAACATTTTGATCGCTACTCTGAGATATGTGGATGAAACTTTGTTTAAATAACATAAAGATTAAGGCTTTAAGAATTTGTTGCTTGAAGTAGCCGGATGGCAATGTCATGTTATATCAGGCATGATATAGAAAGAAAGGAAGGTGTCATAGTAAATTTGCATGAAGGGTGGGTTATATAACCACTCTTCATACAAATGCAAATTCACAATTTTATATATTTAGTCTCTCTGTTTGTTTGAAGCAACTGCTTCTAACTAATCCAACTAGATTGTCATGTTTTTTTTTGTGATACATATAATGGCAAACAAGTCGACGGCTCAATCGTTAGAAAGCGGGTATCATTCGATGGAACCGTCACCTATAGACATGAATATATTAGCACTATGAACATCATTGAGTATACTGTGATATCAATGGTGCCTTTTATGCGTCGCCATTCCTGAGAAACGAATTAAATGAGAGGACGGTTGTGGGCGGCGCAGACTACTCGTGCGTGGACATCGACGAGTGCGACCTGTACAGCCCGTGCGACGAGCTGGTGTCGTGCCGCAACGAGGAGGGTGGATTTAGCTGCGGCCCGTGTCCGGCCGGCTACGAGGGAAGCGCGTGGCGCGGCGCCGGCGCCGACCGCCTTCGCCAGCGCTGCGCCGACTTGGACGAGTGCGCCGCTGGCCGCGCACTTTGCGACCCACACCGCCTTTGCGTCAACACGCCGGTACACACCTCCATCACTCCCTTCGCACACGCATCCACTGCACTGCAATTCGAGTCGTATATCACTGTGACCCAGTTCCTTAATTTCGTCTGTCGTACTATGAGTTGTGCTGCAATAGTGCCCTTTCAAGGTTTAACATCAGAAGTATCATAAGCATATAGTCAATTTTGACATATATTTTGGAAATTTTAATATGGGGTCTCACTGTTTAAATTTTTAGCAATTTAGGTGGCAAATTGCACCATGATACCAAAACAAGCTAGTTCAAATGGCAAACAAGCTGACGTCTCACCTGATGTCAATTGGTAATTGTCGCATATAGACATGAACAGTATTATGAACATTACAGAATAATCCATTGTGATGTTTATACCCGATAATTTTACTATAATTTTTTTTCAAAATAAAACAGCTATTCAGATACATCTACTTCACGATAGAAACACGAATACGACAGAGGATTTTTGTATAGTCTAGAATAGTTAATAAAATCAAAAAATTAACGCTCAAGGCCTATCAATATCTGTTATATACCAGGGTTCATACACGTGCGTGCCATGTGGTGGTAACTACTTTCTGAACACATCCCGGCCATGCTTCGAGCCGCAACCACTGCAGCGATACTGTGACCCGGACTACTGCAAGAGATTCAACGCCGTATGCGGGTACGGACAGAAGTGCGTCTGTGCGGTGAGGATCTTCATTTACCGTTTATTTATATTGAAGAATTGCAGCGTCTATTTGTGCCTTCTAGTGTCAAGAGCTGCCTTTTTTAAACATGAAAGGTTTTGATGTTTGAAGGATTTGCGAAAATTTTTGACACCTAAAGGCTTTAATAATTTTTACATTTGCTACTTGAATGGTTGAAGGAAGGAGAGTTAAATAAAATGTCAAAAAGGTTGGAATTTGGATGTCTAAAGCATTAAATTAAAAGGAAAATTTCTTGTTTGAAATTGATGTCCGTTTTGTCGTAGTCATTTGTCTTATCAGAGGCAGTTTGTTTTTGTCTTTCGAATGTCTTAGCTAAGTCCAAGAAAACCGATCAAAGAGGCCGCATCATCAAATAAATAATTAATTATGCGTTTTTGCGAATTATTATCTTTTTTTTATGTAAACAAAGGAATTTTTATAAGAATTCAAGGAAGATTCGATTTCTTTTAGACCGGATGGGCGGGCAATGGAACAGTCTGCGGTCCGGACAGAGACTTGGACGGATATCCGGACCAACAGCTTAGGTGCTACGAGATGCATTGTAAGGCGGACAACTGCCCGGATGTTTCCAACTCTGGACAGGAAGACGCGGACGGTGATGGTTTGGGTGATTCCTGCGACCCGGACGCTGATGGCGACGAGATCCCTAATCATCCGGTGAGTTAACATGTTGCATAAATATGCCTCAAAAAGTGATTGGCTGAAATAAGTGAATTAGCAAGATTTTTAGTTCTGTAAAAAAAAAGTAAAGTTCAATTATTTCTAGTATTAGAAAAATATTAATAATAATACGATTCTATAGTAAATAGGATTCTCATGTAAAAAAAAATATATGTATGAAATTGCTTAAAAAGGCGGATACATAACCGCACAAAACTGCGGTCTCGTCTGTTTTGTTTGAAATAAATAAAGCTATGTTGTGGTTTCAAATTAATTTAATTGAAACCATATATGTATAGGATTGTAATTTTAACATTTCATTTAGGACAACTGTCCTTTGGTCGCAAATCCGGACCAACTAGACCGAGACGAGGATAGGAGCGACAGGCGGGGTGATGTGTGCGACAACTGCCCGAGGAGGTACAACCCCGACCAGGCCGATACTGACGGTGATGGCATGGGCGACGTTTGCGATCCAGATATGGACAACGATGGTGAGGCAATAGAATTAAAGTAATGGCTATAGATGTAGTATTACATACTACATCTATAGGATAAAAGCCCTCAAGACGGGAATATTTACCAACTAGACTGACAATGACAAAAGTGACAGGCGAGGCGACGTCTGTTATAACCAGTCGAGGAGGTGCAATCCTGATCTGCTCGATACCCACGGTGACAGTATGGATGACGTTTGTGACACAGCATGAACAACAAATGAAAGAAATGATGATTGTAAGGCAATAGCATTAAAATAATAATTCTACAGCTACAGCTATTACTGTCTCTTTAAGGGAAACTCAAATAAGTAGATAGGGGCAAGGACAAGAGTTACAGGCACAATGATATGTTTCAATCAAGTGTCAGTACCTCCTGTTTGAGAACCTCGACAAAATTGAATAAGATGAATAAAGGAGTGACCAATATGTACTACAAACAAGGAGGCCCGGACTTGTTCGTTACTAAATGTTGGTTGTATCAGTATGAGTCTTCACTTTCTTTTCTTACATCTTAAAAAGTTTTTTATCACGTTAGCTCCCTGACAGTTAGATGTGTTGAGGTGGGAGCTCAGAATTAAAAAGAGAAAGCTCAGTATTTCGATTAAAGCAAGTTAATCAAAATGGAGTAAATGCTAGGATTATCTTACTTGGTTACTTTCTGTCTTTTAGAGATTATTATGTTGTTCAGCTGTCACTTCAGCTTCGTGATTATTTTGTATAATTATAAATTAATTTCGTTCTTCATGTTCCGGATTTTTTTACGTAGGAAGACTTGAAGCTTTCTCATATATTTGAGGGTGTTGTAGTCTAATTAAAAAACAGTTGTGTCATAGAGTACAAGTGTAGTTTATTAATTGCAGGTGTGCCCAACGAGCATGATAATTGTCCTCGGGTGTACAATCCGCGGCAGGAGGACGCAGACGGCGACGGTGTTGGTGATGCGTGCGACAACTGTCCCCACGTACCCAACACACCGCAAGCTGATAGCGACAACGACGGCGTCGGTGATGCCTGCGACAGTGACCTAGATCGGGACCTGTGAGTGACATACCATACAGTGCTATGCTTCATCACACCACACCATACTACGCTACGTTGTGAATCCATAGATAGTCCTTAGGGATGGCAACACTTAAAGAAAAATCATGGGCGACATGATATACTCTATTATATCCATGGTACTGTTCATGTCTATAGGGGATGGTTACTACTTTCCATCTAGACTCCAAAATAAACCAAGTAAGATGTATAATTTGGTTACATTAATGAAAACAGATTTTTTTTCACATTAATTTTGAATAATAATTTAAAAATAGCAGCCTACATATTAATTTAAAATGTGTATGTGTGTGTGAGCGCGTATGCGTGTGTATGTTTTGAGTGAAGTGTGCAATTTATAAATACTTAGTTCAAATTTGGCATTCTTGTAGTCCAGTCGTGTACAAATGACCGTCCAATTGAATTGAATGTAAACAAATCTATATTATGTAAATGTAATTGTAAGGGTCGAAAAGTTTGTGCATTGAGATTTTTCCGCGAAAATCACCTATTTCCAGCCCAAGTGTGTATATTGAGTTTTTTCAAGAAAATTACCTATTTCTAGCTTCGTGGTTAAAAATAAGCAATGAAAATGAAATCAGTCAATTTTAGAATTGATGACTCCCTGTTTGTTACGCGTCATCACGTAAAATACCTAATGGGATTTTATAATAGTCGAACTAGAGTCTGTTTCAATTTAGAAATTACAAAAAATTTAAACAAATGAATAATTTACCCGATTATATGACAATCTGCTAATGTTCGCTACAAATGTAAAATCTTTACTAATTATCTCTGATAAAACTACTTTTTAATTAAGGTTTTTGGTCTATTTTTAATTTTTTTTCTACCTTTTAATTAAGTTTTTTTTAAAGAGACTATAATTGCATTAATTTGACATACATTGTCATACGATCGACAATATGGTCGTTTATGTTTACGAAAAATAGATGATATTAAAGTATTTAATGATCACAATATTTTTGTAAAGAAAATATACCTACGTGATGCCAGGAAATCGTGATTCGAAGTTTTTATATCTAAGCATATAACATCGTAAAGAGTAAAGTTCTGTCTTTTTTGTTATGTATACACTCAAATAGGCACTATTATTAGGTATTATTACTGATTTTAAAAACTGTGTCCTTTAGAAGGCTATATTATCAGAGTGTAAGATTTTATTTGTCGTGTGGTCCCGGCATAGAAAGGGACACTCCTTCAAATAGAAATTCACTTCATTTTTATTCAAATAGACTTGTTTACAAGCACTTTGAAATCGTAATCTTTTCTTCTTCCTTCATCTTCCTTTCCCTTGACGTAAGAGGAGGAAAGGGAATGTAATGGTAGAGGGTTGGACAGCAGCGTCCCTCTTAAAACATCACCAAAGTATTACCAAGGGAGAAGGGATTGTTAGTAATGGGGAGGTTAGTCTCCATTGCTATCAATATACCCCATCAGGTCGACTTCAAGGCGGTTTCCCCTGGAAACTATCATCACTAATTTATCGTTGAATTCGTCATGATGGGCTAACTGACCTGCCTTTTCATCCTCACCTATCACCTCTCACCGGTACCACGCCAGTATATACTGACCCATTTTCACCCATTAAAAAAACTACGGTTACCAGTCCGCTTGCTCAGTGTGGTAATTACTAGCAAAACTAGTAGTATTGGGCGAGGCCTATGTTATGAAGGGTATTGGTTTTGCCAATACGGCTATGTTCAGCAGTGGACAGAAAACAGCTAATTTGATGATGATACAGTATATTACTGCAGCGGCCAGCAACTGAGGCATTGATGGACGAACGTACAAATGTTGGCCGAGGCGTAGACGAGTCACACATACATGAGATCATCAATGCTTAGTTGTGGCCAAGGCTTGTATAGTACTTTTCTCAAACAATGTGCGGAAATCAAAAACACAATTTTACTTTTTAAGTTCAATGACGAATAACGAACAATAATAATTTTTCACGCGTCATAATGTTCATTTGTTTTTTTTTCAATAAACAGCTTTCTATTTGCAAGCTAGTTCGAAATTTAAATAAAACCTTTTACTAGTTATCTCCTTAGTAGCCATGTTTTGAAGTAAAAGGTCACTCCATTTTTAAATTACAGGACAGATATGAGTTTACATAGTAATTTATCTGGCCGCAAAACACGACAGATATGGATTTTCATACAACTTTTGCCGGCCGCTGCCCGCATGTATCTGGCCAGTACGGCAATTTTGATTTATCTCTAAGAAGATTATCAAAATAATGCTCATATTTCCAAGCATGTTTGAGAAAAAGACTTTATTAAAAAAAGAACCTGTACGTAGACGAGGTAGGTTGCTAGTATAAGGATAAAAATGTATGCAGATAATTTTTTAAAGCCACTGTGTACTAATCTATTCAGGGACGGTATCCAAGACGGCATGGACAACTGTCCGACGGTGGCGAATAGTGACCAGCAGAATGTGGACGGCGACGAGTGGGGCGACGCGTGCGACGACGACGACGACGGTGACGGTGTCCCAGACTCGCAGGACAATTGTCCCCTTGTGGCAAACCCTGACCAGTTAGACACTAATAGTAAGTGACGATATGTATTTATTCTATTCGGACAACCTGATCAGGTTGGACTCCAATAGTAAGTGATGATGTAATCTTTTAATTATATCAATTTATGCTTATTTTTATTAAAAAAGTTAAGTTTTATTCAATTATATTTAGAAAGGAATACAATATGAGACCACACGAAAGCTTCTTTTATTGCTTTTATCGTGAAATGAACACCAAGGGGAGACTTTGTACAAAAGTCGATTGCTTGGGTACCTCTGTCTCATTCGTGTTTCTACCGTGAAGCAGTTGTGTTTCGGTTTGAAGGGTGGGATATGGCGTGAATTTACTGGGTACAGAGGAATAACACCCGAGTCCTCAGGAATGGCAACGCATGGGGGGTATCATGGGTGAAACAGTATACTCTGTTATGTCTATGGTACTGCTCATGTCAATAGGCGACGGTTACCATTTTCCATCAGGTGGGCCGTCAGCTTGTTTGCCATTCTAAGTTGTATAAAAAAAGATAATTTTAGGGTGGGCACGGTCCGCTCGACCACCCTTAAAATAACTTGTGTTAATTGATAGGCTACAAGTCTGTCAGACAAGTACTATAATAATAATAAACTCTTTATTGCGCACAATAGAGATGTATATAGGGAGTATTTATACAGAATGTGCATATACTCGTACAAGAGCGGTCTTATCGCTAAAAGCGACCTCTTACAGATAACCTGGTACTATCCATAATCTATTCCGCTCTGCTTATAACTTATCTTGCGCGCTAAAGAATAAATACTTTTCTTTTTATATTTATAGACGATTTCGAGGGCGATGCTTGCACTAACGACAATGACGGCGATAAAGTTATCAACGAATTGGACAACTGTCCCAACAATTCGCTCATACACCGCACCGATTTCAGGTAAAATAGTTTGAGAGTTCAACATAATTATAAAACAATTTCGAGTGTTCGAATCTACAAACATAATGAGTACGGAACCCAACTTTATAGTATACATTACAACGACTCACTTGAAATTTGAAATTAAATACATTATTATGTGTTTATTTTTATTCAAATTACTAGATAAACAAACAGATACATTTATTGGTTATATTGAAAATATCGTTTTGGATCCCAGGTTTGCTACCTCGTCATATTGACGTCGATTTTCAGTCACTGACCTTAAAATGTTTTAAAACTGATGTTATATTTGAATTACAAACGTCATCTACTTGAAATAGAAAGAGTAATTAGTAACGTTTCTTATTGCAGATAATAAATTTTCTATTTTTTAAAAGAAATTCAATCATTCTCTTTCAGAAAGTACATGACAGTTCGTTTGGATCCCGAGGGCGAATCTCAGCAGGACCCCAATTGGGGAGTTGGGAACGAGGGCGCCGAGATTCTTCAGACCTTGAACTCGGACCCGGGACTGGCCGTTGGGTTCGAATACTTCGGTGGCGTAGACTTCGAAGGGACGCTGTTCGTTGATACTCAGATCGATGATGACTACGTCGGATTCATTTTTGGGTGCGTTGTTACATGGATTACGTACAATTTTTTTTATATTAGATGCAGTATACAAACTTCCGGTCTGTTTGATGGAAAGTGCTGTTGGTATGTTGCTATATCTAACAGATTATCCATCAAATACCTTGATATTACAGAATGATAAAATCAAAGTCAATATCATTTAAAATGAATGTTCTATTAGTGAAACTGCATATTTGTTCCAAAGGAACGTTGGTGAAAATGATAAAAAAAATTGAGACTCCCATATTAAGACGGCACAACCGGGTGTTAAATTACTATGAAAGGCTCAGAAAATATTAACGTTTTTTAATTTTAAATTCACAAAATTTCTATTCTGATATATAGCCATGTGACTCATTCACAGCAGATTCTTAATTCTAGATATCGGTGACGACTTTGACTTCATTCTAAATATTGAACAATTTTATCAAAGTATGCCTACTTTAAAGTTGGTGAACACTGCAGGTAGATTTTGTAATTTTCATTTCCTTTACATATTTGTGTACGTTATATTTTATTATAATATAATTTAAATATCTTTTTTTCATTTCTAATAGCTACCAGAACAATAAGCGGTTCTACGTGGTGATGTGGAAGAAGAACGCGCAGACATACTGGCAGACGACGCCGTTCCGCGCCGTCGCCGAGCCGGGGATACAACTCAAGCTAGTCAACTCCAAGACTGGCCCCGGGAAAACGCTGAGAAACGCTTTGTGGAACACAGAATCTACACCGGACCAGGTAATCATGATCATTATAGCAATCCATTAAGGTACCTCTGTTGGCCATATTAGCATAGCGCAAGGAACAAAAAAAGAGGAAAAAGTCAGTCTACACTAAACCAAGTAATCATGGGGTAAGGGATTGTTAGTAATGGAGAGTGAGAATCCCATTGCTAGCAATACACCCAACCAGGTCGACCTCCTCGCGGTTCCCCCTGGAAACTATCATGGTTAATTCCTGATGAATTCATCATGATGGGCTAACTGGCCTGTTTTCATTCTCATCTATCACCTTTCACTGGTGCTCCACCAGCTTATCCTGTTAGCGCAGGCGGGGTTACCATACCATTTTCACCCATAAAAAAAACCCAAGTAATCAGGATTATAAAAGCATATTAAGATACAACTGTTGGGAATGGATCTATTTTTATAAAATAAAAATATTGGCATTATGTTGCGAAGAGCAAAAAATCACAAGAGGAAACAAGAAAGAGTTTTAGACAGTGATTAAAAAAAAAATAGGAAAAAGTTTTTTAGAGCGTCTTTTATCACACTGGCTACGTTGATCTTGTATAGTCTGTGCTGTGACTGCGTGGTGATGGAGCGAACAAGGCAATTTTCCATTACTTTTAGGCTATCATAAGAAGTTACTACAGTAACAAAGCATGATGGAGAATGAATGTTGGAGAAGAAAAACTCTATATAAAATTCTATATATAACTGCTTAGTCAGTTTTTTTATGGGTGAAAATGGTATGGTAACGGTAACCCCGCCTGCGCTAACGGGATACGCTGGCGGAGCACCAGTGAAGGGTGATAGATGAGAATGAAAACAGGCCAGTTAGCCCATCATGACGAATTCATCAGGAATTAACCATGATAGTTTCCAAGGGGAACCGCGAGGAGGTCGACCTGGTTGGGTATATTGCTAGCAATGGGATCCTCAGTCTCCATTACTAACAATCCTTTTCCCCCTTCTTAGTCAGTTTAGTGAGGATAAATGCGATAAACTAGATCACACAGATAAATTACAGGAGTTGACTTTAGTTTAAAGTAGTTAACATTCGTTACACGGAAACTTGCTTGTATAAACTTGTCTGTGGTTTAGTATTTTGAATTAAGGTCTTCATGCCCCAAGATTAATAACGTGATGAAGTAATTATCGATGTCTCTGTTGTTGTAAGCCTTTATGATTTGTGGTAGACGCTCATCATGATGCAGATAAAATGCTTGATAATCACCCTTGTACTAGAAAGAAGTTTAATAGAGTTTTATATAAAAATCCTGTCTCATGATGTTCCTTCACATTAATCTCTAAAACCACTTAATTTAAATGGTTGCGTATAGCTCAGTTTTAGTGGAGTTTCCTCCCATGAACGTTCAAGCTATGAGCTCTCTGCCGAGGGTTTTCTTTGACACCACAGTATGGGGTTTTTCAAAAAGGGTGTATTAAGGTTTCTACAGGATTCGCAACTCGCATCTGATATCCCTAATGTTACAGGCGTATTAGGTAGATGGTTTCAGACAGGCTGTAAACTTGTTTGCTACCTTTATGGTATAAAAAATTATAATCTATTGTAACGAAATTTCATATATGTGTATTGTTTGATCAAATTGAGAAATAGGATAATTTTATTATAAAACTAGCGACCCGCCCCGGCTTCGCACGGGTGCAATGCTGATACTAAATAGCGCCGCCGGTCCCCCATTACATTACGACACTACATTAGAAATCTCTAAAATTATCAGTGTTCTTCTACTATATTATGCTTGTATTATACATATAAACCTTCCTCTTGAATCACTCTATGTATTAAAAAAGACCGTTTCAATCCGTTGCACAGTTTTAAAGATTTAAGCATACATAGGGACGGACAGACAACAACAGCGACTTTGTTTTATACTGTGAAGTGAAGAAAAAAAGGATCCATTAAATGGCGATAGAGGGGAAACAACAGTTACCGGTTCTGTTGGATTTTTTTTTATGTAAGAACATCAATGCTTTGTTCAGGTTACACTTTTATGGAAAGACCCCCGCAACGTGGGTTGGCTGGAGAAAACAGCGTACCGTTGGCGATTGCTGCACAGGCCCAAGATTGGACTGATCCGGCTCAAAGTGTACGAGAATAACCGGTTGGTGGCCGACTCTGGGAACGTGTACGATTTCACACTGCGAGGTGGCAGGCTGGGAGTATTTTGCTTCTCTCAAGAAATGATCATCTGGTCCAACTTGGTGTACAGGTGTAATGGTAAGTAAACTAATATTATCAACATCAGTTTAAGATATACCCACAGTAATAATCGACTGGTCATTAACTTCAGTAGTTTATATCGTCATAGTCGTAGAATACTGACGGATATATATATTTAATCTTTGTCAGATCCGTCAGTATTCTACGACTATGACGATATGACGTCGCGAAATGGCAGATTTAGGCTTGTTAGTAACACAAGTGTAATTTTGGTCTATCTAAGGTAATGGAACGCCAATAAATTAATCACTCACTTTTCATTAGTTTCGAGTTTCGTTTCCACATTGGCTATTTTCTATGTATTATGTATATATATGTATATAAATATGTATATTTTATATGTACGTATAGATAAAGAAGTAAAGTACAAGATCTATTCGAAAAATATCCGACCTACTTTCATATCTTGCGTTTGTATTATTTTTTGTATCATCCTTCAAAGTAGTTCTCATTTGATTGAACACGCTTCTGTCAGTATCTCCGCATCAAGTAATAGTCTTGAATCAGATTTCTTATATTGATGCTCTTGGAACTAGATATTAATATTAGTTAGTGATAAAATATGTTGTTTTTATTATTTACAGACAAGATTCCATCGAATATTGTGCCAGAGCTGCCTAATCAGCTTCTCAAGAAATTAGAAGTGGACCACGACTTTTACTACGCCTGAATATTGTTAATGTAGATTTATTGTATTATTCTAAAATAAGTAAACAATAATAAACCTAACAATATATGGATTTTGTTATTTTCTTTCGGATTAATACGAAAGTGAGACAAATATCTGAAATAGTAGAATAATTTGAATACTTAACTAAAATAGTTGTATTGGATGTTTGAAATATAAATTTGGAATGCATAGGATGCTTAGTGTCTCCGTGTACCTACTGAATATGTGCTAATAGATAAGCTTGTAAAGGTCTGAATTCTGTTGTAATATATTTTGTTTCGTTTATATTTCAACGTTGTTTATGTATCTATGTCAAGACGTAAACGTTGCTGTTTCAAATCGTATTGTAAAAGTTTTGTTTCTGATTTGTTTGTTGTTTTGTTACAATGTGAACAATTGACGAATGTTTCTATATGATATATACTTTAAGAAATTATATTGTAAGTTAAACTTTAATATAATAATAAATATACTACTTCTTTTAACTTGTATTTTATTTTTATAGAAGTATTTGTCGAAGACAAGTATACCTAAAATGTATTTGGTGTGATAAAAAAGACAAAGATAACTCGACTTTTATTTTTTCTTTTATCATACGGGGTACAGGTAATGGATGATAGTGTTTAGCAAAATCACTAGCACAGAATACTGACTCCAATGTACTAATGCTGTCCTCTATGGGTGAGTATGTATATTTTGTTATATTGTAAGTAATTTGTTATATTTGACGATTACAAACGCTCCCAGAAATAAAGTAAAATACGTGTATATATCCGAAGTTCAAGTAATCAATTGATTTTATGCAATAGTTCCACTTTCAGCCGTTAGATTGGAAAAAATATCTAAAGGTTTTATAACTGGTCGAAAATATTTTTTAAAGAACAAAAAAAGAAAATAGGCGAATTGAAAATCAAATTAATGTATTGTCAGAAGTAGAAAGCTTTTTAATTGTATACTCAGAAGTTTTTTAGAAGTACTTCTTTTCTTTCTTTCGTTATTTTCTTTCTTCTTTTAAATATTTTATTTGCATTTACGTTAAATATTTTGTAATAATGGATTTTATAAATAACGAACAAGAGTTCATTTCAAATAATCCTAATATGGATCAACTTGATAATGAAAGACCCGTGGAGGAAATGGAACTACAAACGCTAGATATAGATAGCAATTCAACATTGAACACAGATAAGAAATCGCTCATTGCAGGAGTTGAAGAAATTAATACAATTCTGGAAAATAATCCTGCAAATATCGGGAATGGACTTTTTGAGAATCCTATAGTCGAGCCATTTGCGAGTACAAGTAAAGTTGGTGTTAAAAAAGTTCGCAATAAGATACGCATAATAGAATTTGTAAGGATTTTACGACCGCGAAGATCTAAAGATAAAGCAAGAATATTGATTAAGAATATAATTAAAGGAGTAACACCTAAAGCTGTGGTAACAGTTAAGAAAATTACCAAACGACGACACGTCCGAAAAGTAACACGATTTTTTTCTAAAAAAAATAATGGAAGATCAAAGTCTTTGTTTTTAATTAGGAAAAGATCAGTGAACAGGACGAGAACGTCTGAATCATCATTATCAGATGGATGTTGTTCGCTTTGTGGCCACAGTGGATGCGAAAGGTAAATTTTTCTGTGATGTTAATTTGGTTTTGGCGGGTGAAAAGCTTCAAATTTTCGTTTTTATATATATGAATCTTATTCGTGAACATTAAATAGTAAATATATTGTGTCCTGGACATACTCTGATGTTTTATTTTTTGTATTCTCATTGTGCAACCCTACGATATTCCATTGATTCAAAGTAGGAACTAGTAGATTTTGTTTGTAAAAACAGTGATGCTAATCACGAAAAATCTATCAAACGAAAGACGAGATTTGACGTTATCCACAAGCACTGGGCAAGTATTCGGTAGAATATTCTATTTTTTATTTCTAAAAGAATTGTTGGCATCATGCTAATAAAATACAAAATTATTGTGTCTATATACACATAAGTATGTTTGTAAACAAGTGTCTACTTAAAAAACCTATATTCGATATCTTTATTTTCAAGGATACTGAAAATATAATTTTTCAGCCATTAAGATGAAATGGTATTTTTCACACGATATCTGTTAAAGTGGCTAATTTGTCCTTCCAGATTAAGAGTGAAAGTAAATTCTTAATTAAGTTTAAAACAGTGGGACAGGAAATTTAAAAATAGTACCTAAGCAAGTTTATCATGAAGTTTACATTGTTCGCAAACATTTAGCGGAGTTAATTTGTTTTAATAAACACCCACACAAAATATCGAAGGGCAAAGTGCAGATGAGATGAGAGAAAACACAATAAGTATATTGTGTTTTATAATACAAGGAAGCAAGTAACAATTATCTTCAATGTTTCTAATATTCGTGAATTTGAATTCAGAGGTATTAGAACACTATTCGATCTTGGGACTTCCAAATCGTAGTCAAGGGTATTACGGTTGAGTTGTCACCGCTTTAACGAGTTTATAATTCAAATACTGGAGCACAACATTGCGCGATGTGATTAATTTTAAAATGGATTTATTAAGAAATCAAAACTTTAAATTTACCGTGTACGATAATCATATCCGGTCATGCCCAATATCATACATGTGTATGGAAAATTAAAAACGCCTTCAGCGTCTTAATCCGCAATGTGTCGAAATGAGTAGTACATTTTAATTTTTTTTACAGCAACGTTTTATGGATAACTCGCTGTTTCCTGTCTGAATCAGTATATAAATTTAGGATATAACCTATCCGTGTACTAAATATCATTCAAATCCCTTCAGCCATTTTTTTTTAATGAATGATAATGGAATGGTAACCCCGCCTGCGCTAACGGTATATGCTGGCGGGACACTAGTGAGGGATGATAGGTGACAATGAAAAGGCAGGTCAGTTAACCTATCGTAACCTAACTCACTTGGAATAGAACACGATAGTTTCCAGGGGGAACTACGAGGAGGTCGACCTGACAGGGTGTATTGCTAACAATGCAGCTACTAATCCCCATTTTCAACAATCCATTATCCCCCCACCAATTAACCATTTAAGTGTGATGAAATAATAATCATACATATAATAATAAAAAAAATTACTTTAATAATTATTTAATAATAATTATTAAACTTTAACATTTATAATTATAGTAATCAGTTTTACTAAAAATTAAAGATTTAATTGTACAACAAAACCGACTTTAGTTGTGACAAAGCCAGTCATTTTAATTTAAAACTGAAGTACTGGACCTGTTTTTATAAAATTTCTTTGGGATTACTCTGTAAGTATACTCTTTCAGAGAAAAAAAAATCCAAATCGGTTTAGAACTGACGAAGTTATGAGGTAACAAACATAAAAAAAAAACTGAATTTAGAACCTTCTTCTTTTTGAAGTCTCTTAAAAATACATTCACATGTATTTAGTACAGACGTAACATAATTTATTAACGACTTTAAATTTTCAAGTAATAACTAATCTAAAACTTATGACGTTCTAAGCATGGTGTAAGAAATCTCGATTTAATATTTGAGTTTTCATATAAATAAAAAGCTAGAAAATGCTGTTGCGGCTAAGTCAAGTCAAGACGCGACGTAATAAATTGTGTTCAGAGGATTTTATTGTCTGATATTTCACTTATTTGCTTTATCTAAATCGCTTACTTACTCCGCAAGTTGATGTTTGTATTTCATTATTAACACTGGGTATATGTGAGGTTTAGAATATTCAAACATTTGTGACAAGTGGAATATTATGAACTAGCTGACTCTCGCGAATTGGTCTGCTTAGATTTGCATTCTATATTTTTTACATGAGAAATTATTGATTACAAACTCTCACCGCCTATTTCACTTTATTCAAATTTTATTTTCGCGACAATAGTAATTTTTATCCATCTCCATGGATCAATCTATCTTTATGTCAAAATTAATTAAAATTGACTCAGAGGTTTAGACCTGAAAGGGTAACACACACAGAATATGATTGTTTTGCTCTTTTAAATGCAAAGCAATAAACTGAGTTGTGACCATTTTGTGTTACTATGGCACATGCATGAAGGAAGGGAAAGAATGGAGATTGTTAGTTAATATATTTTGTTTTTTTGTATTTTTTATTTGTGCTTTTTTATTTTCATTCTTTTATCTCTTTTACTGTGTATTTTGTGTATGTTTTTTTTTATTGTAATTTGTGTGCTGTAAGTAATGTAAATAAATTATCTATCTATTTATCTAACAGACGGGCAGACAAATAGACTTAATTTATAATAATTAGTATGGATAATCAGTAAGATCATTAGATTTATTAGTTCCTATAAAAATTTGAAAGGAAAAGCATAATTAGGTATTTACTTGGATAATTTAGTTATCAGTTTATTTAATTATGCTGAAAATAATGGACAAACGGATCCATCTGATGGTATGTGGTAACATTCGTCTACATCATAGAATATTTAGCGTCGCCGATGGCGCCCCTTTTGTATTGTCTCTCCTGGAGATTGCTGCCTGCTTTTGTGTCCTACTTTAGTACTGTCAGTCAATTAATAGCACGAATAAGTGTTTATAGCTAGAAACAATTTTATTTAAAATACTAAACTTATCTTTTTTAATGTAATAACTACCGATTTAACTTATGTATAATTAGATCGAGAAAGCTCGACTAGTTTCGGGATCAATTCGTATGTATATACTAGCCATTTCCCGCGGCGTTACCCGCTTCTAACTATGTAGCTCTCGTATATCGTTCCCACTGGAACTTATTCTGAATCTGGTCTTATATTGTTTTGTGTACTTAAATGATAATTACATACTTAAAATTATGACATGAAGTTTCAGCCTTTTTAACTAATCGGTTATTTTATAGCATTTTATATGTGATTCTTTATATTGATATAACTTTTTTATTTATGAATCGATTGAAATAAAACAAACACTGAATGTTAAGCGGAGTAAACCATAACGTGTTAGTGAAAATCGCATTCAAATCGGCTAAGCCGTTTCTGAGATTAGCGTGCACAAACGTACAAAACAACAACAAGACAAACAGACAAAAATTCTAAAAACCATTGTTTTGAGTTTTATTACATTCATAAAATCCCCCTATAATAGTTTTTTTTATATATCTTCCATGTACAGACAGCGACCAGTTACGATTTTATTATAATATGTATATATTTACATACTAGTTGTAATCCGCGACTTTCGCATGAGCGGGATAAGTTTATTAACCGGAATAAAATATATTCCAAACAAGCTTTTCTTTTTTATACAACTTAGAATGACGAACAAGCTGACGACCTACCTGATGGAAAGTGGTAACCGTCGCCTATAGCAGTGCCATGGACATAACAGAGTATACTGTTTCACCCATGATACCCCCATGCGTTGCCAATCCTGAGGACTCAGGTGTTATTCCTCTGTACCCAGTAATTTCACGCCATATTCCACTCTTCAAACTGAAACACAGCTATGCAAACACAACTGCTTCACGGTTAAAACACGAATGGGACAGAGGTACCCAAGCAATCGACTTTTGTACAAAGTCTTCCTCTGGTTAAATAGATTTAAAATATGATTAAAAGTGGTAATCGTCACCTGGAGACATGAACAGTACCATGGATAGTACAAAGAACATGTTATGATGCCCACGTGCAATGCCATTCTAAGGACTAAGGGTTTATGCCTCCGTACCCTGTAATTTCATCATTATCATATAAGCCGTTCTCTGTCCATTGCTGGACAGAGGCTCCATAAACTGTCACAGTCTACCCTTAAAAATAGGGGGGAAAGGAATTGTTAGTAACGGGGGCTAACAGCCCCATTGTTATCAATATAATCTATCAGGTTGACCACCACACGGTTCCCCTTGGAAACCATCGTCACGTGCCGTGAAGCAGGTTAGGCAGTTACTGGGTACAGAGGAATAGCACCTGAGTCCTCAGGAATGGCAATGCATGGGGGGTATCATGGGCGAAACAGTATACTCTGTTAAGTCCATGGTACCGCTCATGTCTATAGGCGACGGTTACCATTTTCCATCAGGAGGGCCGTCAGCTTGTTTGCCATTCTAAGTTGTATAAAAAAAAATTACCATATAATTAGAATTAAAAAAAAAATTGTTGCAGTTTCTTACACCTGTTTAAGTCTAAATCACTCTTTATTATTAAAAACGAAAAGTGTCAAAACTTATAAATTTTATTACAGTACTCTACAAACAAATTTTGTCACCTACAATTAAAAATAAATATTTTTATACTGCCTAATTGCCTTGCCTGTGTATCATAGGCGATACAGTCGCGACTGTCCCTTTCAAGTATATATCGAGTCAAATTAACTCGAGTTAATTATTATATTAACTCGAGTTCCAAAAATTATGTTTTTACTAATCTGCTAAACGCGTGTCCACGGTGCTTAAAGGTACAACACTTGAGTACTAGTATATTTAAACTTTCCTAAAAAACTATTATATTGCGATCTAAATTTTAACAACGCCATCTATTGCCTAAATATAGCACTTAAAATCTATTAAAATATTAAACTTATGTAGATAATATAAAATGATCGCCATGTTGTATAAGTAATTGTTAATAGATACCTATTAATTATTATTATCGTTATTTCAATTAGAAATTCCGTATTTTAGGGCGTAACTATAACTAGAAACCCGACTGAAAAAAATTTGTTTTTGACGTTTTATGGTCACATCACATAAATAATATTATTTAATACTTGGAAGAAAATTTTTGTGTATCTAGTGATGAAAACGCCAATAACAAATTAAATTCATAGCGACCGTCTTTTTTTTCTCCTCTACCCAAAGGAAGTGACAGGGGGGAAGGGTTTGTTAGTAATGGGGACTAGCAATCCCAAATCCCAATTTTCTTAATGGGTGATAATGGTATGGTAACACTGCCTGCGCTATCGGTATACACTGGTGAGGCACCAGTGAGAATGGGCACCACGCGGAAATCGACCCGACAGGATATATTGCTAGTAACGGGGTTATTTGACCCTATTACTAACAATCCCTTTCTCCCGCATTCTCATTGTTAGCAGAATTTCCTGTTAGGTTGAACTCCTTGCCTTGCGTTCCTCCCTATCCGTCGTGCATAATTCCATATGAACTCATCACATAGGGCTAACTTGCCTTTTCATCATCGCCTATTATCTCTTATTGGTACTTCTCTAGTGTATACCTACCATTATGTTGCTGGTAGGCAATCGAACTGTTAATCCCCGTTACTTAATCGCCATAACAATTTCTTTCCCCGCGCAAGTGGAATTACCATTTTTTTTATGGGATGACAATGGAATAGTAATCCCGTCTGAGCTATCGGTGTACGCTAGCGGGATATCAGTGAGGGATGATAGGTGAGGATGATAGCAAGTTAGTTAGTCCATCATAATTCAACAAGAATAAATCACGATGGTTTCCAGGAGGAACTGCGAGGAGGTCGACTTGACAGGGTATATTGCTATCAATGGGGTTTCTAGTTCCCATTATTAACAATCCCATTCGCCCTACGATTGTATTATTACTCATTAGAAAATTTCAGATAAGTAAGTTCGCTTCTGACACGTTAATTAAATATGTTCGGAGTAATGTGGGCATTACAAATATTAGGTTTACCAATTGTTTTTCACAATTGTCATAGTCACCAAATCGTCATAGTCGTAGAATACTGACGGATCTATATATGTAATATTTGTTAGATCCGTCGGTATTCTACGACTATGATGAAATGCTTTTGATATCTCCATTTGTTATTACAGTTACGGGTAAACTATTATAGGTTTTACTTTCTGTTGTGGTAAATTATGGAACAAACCCCTTCCCACATACAAGGGAGTCCTTCTATTACCTCTTACAAGAAAAGGTTGAAATTACATTTTCTTTCCCTTGAGTCATAATCTTAATTTTTTATTTTTCTAATTGAACTGTCAACCTTAAAATCATTCAACTAAATTTCAATTGTAGGTAGTATATTAATTTAACATTTATTATATAAGTGGGTAGGTATTATATTTATTTAAAGTATATGTATTTATGTAACATTTTTTATATATTTTAATATTTTATTTAAATGTATATTCAACATCAGTTGCCCGCTAACGACATGCTTTCTAACTGTATTGGTTTACTGGAAGATATCTCTGTCAGAGATAAGTCCACCCTCACAATATTTATAAATGCATTAACAATGTAATTTACAAGTGCAATAAGGAATATATATAAAATGCACTCGCTCAGTAGTTACTATTAACAAAATGAGTCATCGTAAGTGGAAATAATAAATAAATAATGCAGCTGTCTTCCGGGAAAGATGTAGAATGAGATGCTTTTGGATACTGTCCGCTTAGTATGCCGGTTTCTCTATCTGGGACCTTGAATTCCAATCGACTGTGCTTCTGCCGGGGGTTAATTTTCTATATCCTCTCCAGAAGAAGAGAGAAGAAAATTTTGTAAAAAACATTGCTTTTATCTCTTATCATTATCCGTTAATTGCTGGACAAAGGCCTCCCCCACAGATTGCCATAAGGAACGGTCCTGAGCCACCTGCTTTCACTGGCTCCCTGCAATGCATTTAAGGTTGTCATTCCAACGGCGGATCGTCCTACACTACATTTGTGGGGTCACCACTCAAGAACCTGTCTTTCCTATCCGTTATCGGTTTTTCGAGCTATGTGACCAGTCTATTGTCACTTCAGTTTGCTTATTATTCGGCCGATATTATATATTTTTTAAAATGTACATAGATAAAAAGTAATTATTTAAATACCTGGTGTATATAGATGCATTTATTTGTTCTACATGAGAGTTTCTTTTTGGTTCTAACCTTACTTACCTCTCCTGGATAGATTCGCTCGGCCTATAAATATCTATATTAATTAGTATGTGTACTCAACGTCGTTATATTTCTCAAAACTTGCACGCAATGTGTCGAAACCAAAGCTGTTGTGACGTTAGATACATACCCTTATCACGGGAAAATAAAATGACATTTCTATTATGGGAGAACATAACATAGGTAAGAGCTTACGATAGTGAGGTGTCACTATCGTATCAAGCTTAGGAAATTATTAGAAATGACAGCTTCCCCTTCAGTGATTTCTGTTCACGGAATCCAGGCATATTTTTAACTTTTATTACGATATTTTGTAGGGTAGGTTTTGTGCAGAGATGCTTTCTAAGTTTACATTTTTCTTATGTGATAAAAGTAGTGTATATTTTTGTGTGTAATCCAAATTTAGTGACAGTTAAGACGTTAAGGCGCCGTAAGGTAACAAATGCACACATAGAATTCTTGATTTTTTTTTCCTTTTATACAACTTAGAATGGCGAACAAGCTGACGACCTACCTGATGGAAAGTGGTAACCGTCGCCTATAGACATGAGCAGTGCCATGGACATATCAGAGTATACTGTTTCGCCCATGATACCGCCCATGCGTTGCCATTCCTGAGGACTCAGGTGTTATTCCTCTGTACCCTGTATTCACTACCATATCCCACCCTTCAAACCGAAACACAGCCATGCAAACACAACTGCTTCACGGTAGAAACACGTTTGGAACAGACGTGCCCAAGCAAATAACTTATCTACAAAGTCCCTCTGGTAAGTTTAATTGTAGGTTCTTATGGTAGGTATTCGTTTTTATTTGTTGAATTTATCAAAATGTAATCAGTAGGTAAAAATTTATATAGATAGAAAAATAATAGACACTTTAATATCACAAATATATTTATTGTATTATTGTACATATGTTTACATAACACAGACGAAGTAGAACTATCACTCTGAAAAATTGATGATTCAAATATAGAGTAAAGGTCACCACACACAGTGTAGATTATGTTTCACCGTCAAGTATCTGCACGTTATATCAACCGATACCGGTATTATGTCAATTAAAAAAAATATGCAATGATAAATCTGTATCATTGTAATGATCTGTAAATGAATTTAGAATTCTCACCTAAGACTTTTAAGTACAGTTTTTAGATACTAGCGTATTTGACGTAGAACAATTGTAAGAAAATTAAATTCCCAATTAAATTAAATAGAATTTTTTTGAGCTAATTAAAAAAAAAAAGTATAGATGGAATGGAACTTATGGAAAAATTAAACTTCATATCTGGAATATTTTTAGAAACATCATCAGTTGATTAGAAATGAGAGTAAAATTTTATTTTTTTATCTTTTCAGTGCTTATCGTCGTTCATCTCTGATACATCTCATCTGTTTTTTGTGTATTAATCAAATTTTGAAATAACGGATCATACGCTGGTATTGTTCAATGGCCAACGTAAGATCCGTTGCCGATTGCTGCAGATACTAAAAACTAATGTTATCTACACCATTTGTGACAAGCTTAGAACTCCCAATAAGGACGATCGTTTTAATAATTATAATTTAAGTATTGTGCTAAAAGATAAAGATGAATTGAGAGATTTGATTAAAAATAACCACGAGGTCGTGCTCTGTGAAGCGGAGGCTTGCGAGGCGTTCCTCATGACTCTGTCGAACATTTCGTTTTGGTAAAAAATAACGTTTGTCATTTACAAATTATTTACAATTTCATTATTCGCTAATGTCGATAATAATGCTTGGATTGAAATTTATTTCGAGCGATTTTTTTTACAATTAATGAGTTCTGTATTGTACTTAATCGAATTCAGAAGTAATTATATCTGCGATAAAAAAAACCATTGTATTTTATATGTAATACTAAGTAGATGTTATTCACATTGTCTCGGATAAAACTTAACGTGAAAAATAAAATTTTTCTTTTGATATGTATAAAACGTAAATATGTTTACATGAAAAAGTACCTAATACATTTTTATATGTAATAATGCTGAATACTAAAGGTAAGCAGCAGTCGTTAACTTGATTATGTTAGTAAATAACAGACCTTGAAATTAAGCATAACTTAAAATTTATAAAAAAAATAATACAAATAAATGGAATTTCTTGCTGTACTAAAACGAATATAGTTTTAAAGATTGTAATCATTAAAAGATAATAAATGATTAATATTGAGTAAAAAATAACAAATTTCATTATTTTCTTTTGACCGTATTAAATTATAGGTAAACACTAAAGGAATATAATATATAGCTTTTAAAGGTAACATATAGTTTAAAAACGAATTGCAAACAAGAATTTCAGATGCATTTACACACGACTCGTAGCGTAGGTCTTACACAAAGTAAAAATGTAATCTTACAATGTAATTATCTGTACGATCTTATAATTCTATTTTTAAAATTTGTAAGAAGTATATCGGTAACTTGAAGGGGGGGGGGGAATTTAATATAAAATTCAATTCCTTAATATAACAGTGCAGAATGCACAATATGGTACGAGATTAGCATACTTCGTGCATTCTTTACTATTACGCCCACGCTGCGACTCGTGTGCGAACACCCTTATAGTACCTAATTTATTTTCCTTACACTTCGTACGGCAATAAACTGAAAGAACTTCGTACTATTTAATTTTCTAGAAGCTACTAAAAAGTTAGTAGGTATTTGGAAAAAGCGACTGCGTTAACTGGATTTTTATTGCCTTAAGGGCGAGTTATATATCATTCTACTGAATGTCAACTGCCTCTTAATAATGACAAATGTAACCGATGATTTTTATTTTCTTCAATTGTGTAAATAAAATAATACATTCCTTGTTTTTCGTAATAAATTTATCTGACACTAGACAAAGTGCATTAGCTGTTTTATTATTTACTAAACATTAAAAATGTATCTGATTGACTTTGTTTATTTATTTTATTAATCTTCGATAATTCACAGTTAATTTTATTGCTTTTTCAAAACATACATGCATGCATTCAATGGAGCAACCATGATTATAATATGGGGTAGCATGTGAGTCTTAACTATAAATTAAAATAACTTATTGCGTTCATTTAATTACACTATACCATTATTAAATTATTAAAAAAGTCATCTATGTAATAAATATACATGTTACTTCATTGATTTACCACTTTACAATTATATACAAAGATGATACCGTTTTATTGTACTGCAAATAAAATTAAATGTTAAAACTTTGCATTAAATATTTGGTACAAATGAACACAACGAGATCGCCGTTTGTATTCGAATTGTTTTCATCGATAAATTACGGTTAATCTCGGTACTTATAGTTCTCTGTGATACAGTATAAAGCTGGCGACTGACCTGCGTCATTTGAACATAAAACATACATTTAACACAAATAAATACACATACAAAATAAAAGATAACTCTATACATACACATTTATCTTTTATTGTGTACTCACATTTTAAGTATTATATATTTTATAATAAGAATTTAATTGAAAACAGTAATAACCAATTTTGTTTTTTCTGTTTAAAAACACTTCTGAACTGTTACATAAAATAATATTTAATAAATACATGTAGCACGTAGATGTAAGGTGTGTATATAATAGATAGATTATATTTTTTACATATATTTGTATATAATATTCATAATTTTTAAATATTATATACAATAATTAATAAACCATTTTTCAATTTTGAATATAATATTACATGTGGGCGAACATTAGCACAATTCGTAAATTGAGTGCAGAACGAACAAACTGATACCTTTGTGCTTTTTTCATTCTGAATGTTACTATAAATAAAATCTTAAGTCAGTCGATAGCTTTAAATTTGACATGGTGAGGAGTGATATGGAACTTTGTCGGAATATATTTTTTAATTTTAATTTTTAATAACTTGGTGTAAAATTAAGAGTCCCACTATTTAGAATCGCAACGTCCAGATTTCCCGTAAAATTTGTGATTTTTCATTGTTATCAATTTATATAGGAGGAGCGAAGTATTAAAGAGGCTAAATAGCTATCCAGTATCATTGAAGGGTAACTTTTATTTAACACTTTAGTAACTAATCTATTTTTTATTTAAAGATTAATAAATATAAAAATCTACTGTTGAAAGAAAAACTGAAAAATTACCTATATATATATATATATATATATATATATATATATATATATATATATATATGTATATATAATATATTATTATTATGTGTATCTAGACCAGGTAACTATCTCATAGAAGCTTTTAATATAATTCCAATTCCTTTATTTGCGAAACATTAACTTCTGGCAATTGATATCTATTGGTCCAAAACAAATAACTAATATATATTAGTAATTAAAAATTGGTCGTCCATTTAAACGTTAATCTATATTTAAGTAGTTAAAAATTTGCACAAAAAATAATTATGATTGATATGTTTAACATTTACTATTAATGATCTTGATTGCAAAAGTCAATTAGGTTTACAATCCGTTGAATCAGTGGTAATTTGCATAATTCCGCCATTGCACTAACGTTACATTAAAGTCCGCCATTACACTAAGATTACATTAAGATCCGCCATTGTATTACATTGATAGCTTGACGTTTTGCCTACTTTCAAGTTTCAATAGATTTATTTTGCAAAACGTACTCCTGATGTAAAATACGTAATATCATTAAGCAATAATGGCGGAATTTAACAAAAATTAATTCATTACGTAGACGTTCGAAAGCTTAAAATAATTACTGTCAATAAGCAAAACTCATTTAGTAAACATTTAATTTCCATTTCCAGAATCGAACGATTGCTTATATGAGATAATACAAACTGTAGTCTACCGTATTCTATTATTATAAATACATTATTATAAACCTCAGTTCCGATTTTATATTTTATCACTGTTTAACTCTCAGACAACAATGTATTTACAACGTGAGCACTAATACTTGTATTGTCGTATGTCATTCCCTAGTTCTTAACGTCTGAAATCTTAAACTCTGTACACTATCTTCGGTGCTTCATATATGTAGATACAATTGATACTTCTGCAATATGTTGTTCTAATTTATTTAGACATGACACGAGTATGATATATTCCATTTCTATTGAATATCAAATTAATGTTTCGCTTTCAAGAACACAATTTTTCTTAAACAACAAAAGTAGTTGAAGTCTCATAATGTATTCATTTAAATGAAATATTATGAGAATAAATTGACTTCATGTTTTTGACCTTTTCACAGTAAGAGAATGTTTAATATAATTTTTTTTTTCTTTTGTGGCGTTCACCCCGATATTAATATAATTTCAATATGCGTTTCTTGTACTTTTTATAAACTGTTCATTTTGTTGTGTTTGTATATTAATAAGGTTTGCCATTTGAATTCAATACAGAAAGAGATAACAATGAATGTTTTTCTGTTTTGTGTAAGACATGGCCGTAGCTAGGGGGAGGGGCATTGAGGGGCAATGCCCTACCTTAGAAGGCCCAATGCCCTGCCTTAAAATGAAAGGCCCGAAGAAAATTCGGCAGATTCGCCTTTTCGAAGTCACATTATGGCTTCTGCCCTATCAAAAAGTTCTTTGGCCCTAATTTAAAAATGGGTCTAGCTACGGCCCTGGTGTGAGATATCAATTGTATCTATTACATCTTTACAGTTTATATATCTATTTAACTATTAATTAAATAATCTCTATGATTTGATATTGTTTTGATAAATATGAAATTTTACATGATAATAAATCATGCATCTACAGAAGTTACAATTTAAATAGTTCGACATTTAGCGTATGTACAGCGATAATCAATGAGAAAGACCGTTTATTTATATAACGAACAATACAAGATGTTGAAGCAAAATTAGATTTTAAACAGGGGACAAGTCTAGTCTTTCCCATCGACGAAGTTAATTCACACTTAGCGATAGTTTGAAATTGAAATTTCGATATGGTTATTTTAGAATCGTATTCAATTCAGTCTACTAATAGATCACACAGAGGACAGTATAGGGCTAACAAACTCGTCGTCTAGAAAGGTTCAACACCGAAAAGTGGGATCCAAAATGGCCGTCTCAACGGTAACGGGAAGACGTGCCTCAAAACGATATAACATTAACGTATTTGGTGTTATTACATTATTAGTCGTGTAGGTTCCGGCATAGAATAGACCACCCCTTCCGTTTCCGTAGGAGTCATAAGAGGCGACTAAGGGAGTTTATGATCGAGAGATTGGCAGCAGCGTCCCTCTTAAAACATCACCAAACGCAAAACTGCGGTTGCCAACCCGCTTGCCAAACGTGGCAACTATTGGCAAAACCCCCCCTTAAGAGGAGGATATGCTCAGCAGTGGACAGTTAACGGCTGATATGACAATATAATAACATTATTATGACTATAGCTCCACAGTTCCGCTGAGTGGGTATTAAGAATTTGGATTATGGATATTCTTCGTGGGAATTGTATTTGTGAATCGATGATGTTGATGTTACCTGTACAGAAAATTAAAAAGAATTATTATTACAGTTTTTTTTGTTATTTATTGCACCAATATTATATAAACTGTTAAAGGATTTTCAATAAGTACAATAGTCATATTGCTAAGCAATCTTTTTCAAATAATCTTTGGGTACAAGGAATTAAAGAAAGAATGCGTAGGTGGCGCTTAAAAAATGTAAAGTTAAACACGCAGATAAAAGTATTTTTATTATATATATGTACATTTGAGTTCTATTTTAGTTTATGAAGCGTTATGTAAAAGCAATGTCATATTTGAGTTCTGTTTTAGTTAGTTAAGGATTATTTGGCGACACTATATTTGAGGTCCAAAAGAGTTTATGTGTCATTTGAGTTCTGCTTTAGTTCGTGAGGCGATTTTATAATGCCACCTTTGAGTTCTAATTTAGTTCTTGTATGTTAATTTTTCTTAATTTTTTTTTTCAAATTTTCAATACATTTAAGTTTTTTCATAAAATATCAAATGCAAAAGAGGAATAAAATTTTATGATAGATACTCACTAAGCTCTTTAGCACATGGTTTCCGGCCGCGAGGGGGCGGGTGGTTGCGGCTGCTGAGGTTGCTCGGCGGACCTCTGACGCGGCAGCTGGGACGAGTCCAGTACTATGGAGGGTCGAGGTGGAAGGTTCTCGCTTACCATGTGCGACAGTGATAAGTCGCTCGATGCGTTCGTGTCACCTGATCATAGTTAATATACATATATATTTAAAAAAAAAATTGCTTTTAATTTAAACCTGATCTCCTTAGGACTTATGACTACTATGCTGGTAGAGGGTAAGGGTTTGTTAGTAATGAGGTCAAACTGCCCCATTGATAGCAATATAGGATATCAGGTTAACTCTCACGCTGGTTCTCCTAAAAACCGTTATGGCTTCGCAAAGGTTGACAGTAAGAGATCCCTTTATGGGATAAGTTCGCCATTTTATATTAAATCTTTTAATGTATTCAGTATAAATTATGTACAATAAAGATTTCACAATACAGTACCATTGTGAATAATTCTAGTTGAATTCATCGGGATTAGTTAGCTGATCTGCCTTCATTCTCACCAATGATCATTATTGGTACCTCGCCAGCAATATATTACTAATTCAGGCGGGGTTACTATTCCATTATCATCCATTAAAATGCAGTCAGAAGTGTCGGTATTTATATTAGAGTTACATTTGTGTATTAAATTAGTTATCAAGAACGTCTCATATGATATTAAAGTAATGAAAACAAGTACTAAGACATTTTATTAATTCTTGCTTCATGATCACAGTGTTAAGAATCTATTAAATTTTCAGAATTTCTTCATGATATATTTTGTTTTTACCTTAAATTGTATGTGTATACTTGCACTTGTATGTGTATATTTCAGTATAAATGATGGTTATTACTTTTCATTAGGCGAGTCTACTCCCCTAATAAATGGGGGGAATGGGATTGTTAGTAATGGAGACTGAGAATCCCATTGCTAGCAATATACCCAACCAGGTCAACCTCCTCGCGGTTCCCCTTGGAAACTATCATTGTTAATTCCTGATGAATTCATCATGATGGGCTAACTGGCCTGTTTTCATTGATCATCTTTCACTGGTGCTCCACTAGCGTATACCGGTAGTGCAGGTGGAGCTGCCATTCCATTTTCATCCATCAAAAAAAAACTGCTATTGATTTAGGAACTGTTTGCTATTTCTAGAATAACGTAATGTTTGACTACACGATATTTGGTGTACAGGGATCTATTATGAAAACTAATTCCAAAGTTTCGATGTCGAATTTCGTGAAACGCGTTCATGTGGAAATTGGTCCGTTGATAGAGAGAAATATTTTGTTCCTCATAAATTCTTCGTATAAAGCATCTGAACTATCGAAATTGAAATATCTTTTTCGACACAGAAATGTGGAGAAAGTTTCGTAGTAGCTCGCGAGTTGATTATCACATTTCAGAACAAATAGATAGGCGCTATTATCTTTATTCATACAGGAAAAAATATTTATTTATTTAACTCTTTATTGCACCATGTATAAAAATATACAATGACACATGAATAATTCAAGTGAAATACAGTAACATAAATACAGATTGAAATATACACACAAAGGTACAAAAGGCGGTCTTATCGCTAGGGCAATTTCTTACAGACAACCTTTAGGAAAAATTAAGGAATTTTTAATGGATAAAGCTGGAATGATGCATCAGTCACTTTTAATGATATACAATGGGAGGATCAGGGCAGGAAGTCAGGTTAATTAGCGCATTGTAAATTAAAGAATGAACGAAAACACTTTATTGTTCCTTTCCAAGAAAGATAAAGTTTATAAATATTAATAATATGTACATAAACAAAATTATTTCTTAATTACATAAGCAAGATAAAGAGGAAACAGTGGGTGGCCTTGTCACCCATCATCGTGATGAATTAAGAGGTATTAATCACAACAAAATCGAGGGTTATACGGCTGTAGTTTAGGATAAGGTATTGAAATCACTATGGTAGACAGTCTTACCAGACGGTTGCCTAGGCACAGGTAGCAGCACCTCGCCGCAGGAGTCGTCTCCCAGCAGCGGCTGCAGCGGCGAAGGCAGCTCGCGGCTGTCGATAGCTGACGACCTCCGCAGAGAATGCCTGTATGCCATACCAAGCGAGCCATGATAAAATTACAGGGCACATATAGTACATAAAATCTTAGTTTTCAAAAATGGCAACACGTGCGGGTAACTACAGTGTATTCTGTGATATATATGACACTGTCCATCTCTATAGGTAACAGTTACTATTTTCTAACAGGTAGATCGTCAGATTGTTTACCATTCCAAGTTGTATAAAAATAATGCATAAGACTATTTAAATATCATGCCGAAAATGAAAATATTAAGCCGGATCCATACTGTATAATGCCAGTCTCGGTTCGACCTCCTTCTGACAAAATATCTTTAAGAAATAAATATGTATTCTCACCACAGTCCAGTTTAGTTCTGTTCCTGTTACTATCAATCTCGAAGTGTTTCTGTTTACCAGACCGAGATCGGATCGAGAAAGTACGCAAACCATTATTATAGTGTGAATCCGGCCTTATGAATTAGAGGTTTACATGCGAAATTGAATCGTGTAATTTTTTTGATGAGTGAAAATGGAATTGTAACCCCGCCTGCGCAAACGGGATACCAGGCCAGTTAGCCCATCATGATGAATTCATCAGGAATTAACCATGATAGTTTCTTGGGGGTACCGCGAGGAAGTCGACCTGGTTGGGTATATTGCTAGCAATGGAATTCTTAATCTCCATTACTAACAATCCCTTTCCCCCCAAATCGTGCAATTAGGTAGATTCGTATCAATAATTTTGTAAATTGGAGCTGGTTATGCAGAAAATAGCCACATTACCTGGGATGACTATAAGGGATGGCTGTTTTCTGCATCACTAGATCCAATTAAGTTTTAGGTACGTCATAGGTAAATATGGCAACTGAATAATGGCCAGACATTGACAATTAACAGAGTAATAGTATCAAATATGGATGGTGGCGGAATTAATCAACTCTAATCATCTAACCATAAATAAACAAAGGTAAATCGAATTTATTGCATGAATGTATATATGAATAAAATGTATATATAGGGTGTAAGGGACAGGTTGGTAAAAACAGGAAACAGTGAATTCAAATCCATATTCTGTACTAAAGACCTTTTTAAAGACTAAATTCTTTTGCAAAATTTCATTAAAATCATGTAGTCTATGATATTATGTCTTAAATACAAAAAAATAATAATATTTTACAGAAAAATACTATGAATTACCAAAAAAAAAATCGTATTAAAATCCTATTGCCACCCGTGGAATCAGTAGTGTAAGATCAACGCTACAAGCGTACAAAAACTACCTAGGAAGATGCGCCGTTGACCGCACGGTGTAGATATCTCGTGTCGCGTGGAGTACAGTACGTTGTAAAATTTCAAACACATTGCGTGGTGTCAAAATTAGGAATCATTAATTACATGGCTGTGGTGTATTTACGGTGGGAAAATAATCTGACGGACCATTTATTTGAATCAGCTGTTTTCGTTTTCGCCAACCTGTCCTTTCCACCCTGTATAAACGTATAATTGTAAAAATAATTTAATATAATATATCACCATTTACATCATCATGTCAGCCATTAATTGATTATATTATATGTTAATTTAATTTATTATATTTCATATCTAAAATTGATACATATTTTTTTTTTATACAACTTAGAATGGCAAACAAGCTGACGGCCCACATATACTTTCATAAGAACATGCAACAGCTTAACTTCATATTATTTACACGAATGTGTTCAATAAATGAATAAACACGTGTCATACCTCTGGTGTGGCAATCGTCTGTCGCCGACAGTGAGCAGGCTGGTGGTTTGCTGCGGCTGACTCGACGTCTGCTCCTCCGCACTGGTGTTGAGGCAGACGCTGATGCTGATGCCCCCAGGCTCCCCGCTGCCCCCCTCCCCACCCTCCCCGGCCTCTTCCTCATATCTGCCCAAGACAGACCCCATTTCTAGGCTACTAACGAGATTGATTCGGTTGTATTTTTATGCTCATTGGATAAAGACATTCACAAAAGCAAGGCAACTGCGTGTGTTTTATGTACATGAAAAATGGATGTACTTTGTGATTTACTCGTAATTCGCAATGGTATGTGTGAAATGATAAAACATTTGGTACACGCGAGTAGGTTAGTACCATTACGCAGCGTTTCAATTTATAATCCATTAGGTGTATTGCGATTCAGCTGCTTGCGTTCATGTGAGCGTTTTGGTTTGCCACCAGCGAACTGCGTTGTGCAATTTACGACAACCAAAGCAATCTAACGGCATGTTTTTGTTATCCACTACCAAACCGTCACAGCCATAGTTATATTACTAATAAACAAAATTGTTTTACAAATTAATTATGATTGTTTCACAAAAATATCGACTTCAATTGTGGCGTTTTGATGTAAAAACTAAAGTATTGAATTGATTTTAAAAAAATTCTATGGGCCCAATTTGAATCCAATAATCAATAATAAATAAATATCAAACGATCAGAAGAAAGAAGAAATTTTCAAATTGATTTACAAGTAATGGAGTTATGAGGTAACAAATATAAAAAATATATAACCGAATTGAGAATCTCTTGCTTTTTAAAGTCGGTTAAAAAATGGAACCTAAATGAAAGTTAAAGTTTACATTCGTTTTAAATGGCTATTAATTTATAGAGTTTTAGACCAAATATCTATTCTATCTAGCAAATTTATAATTAATTCCTTGGGATCGCAAGCACTAATAGAATGTTGTCCTACTGGTGTTTACATCGAAACAAGTGCTTCTTTAAGAAAATATGGTTATTTGGCACAATTAATACTCTTCAATCAAGTTGTCTTCTTCTCAATTTCAATCAATGAAAAATTTGTTGCTCTAAATAATCATTATAATCGATAGTTTGTTAGTTTGATATTAAATTTTGATATTATAGGGACAAGAAAATTGCAGAATTTTATTTAAATCAACAAAATGTATTATAATAGTACTATATATAGGGAGGAAATGGATTGCTAGCAATGGAGTTTGACAGCCCCATTGCTAGCAATATACCTTATTAGGTCGACTTCCACGTGGTTCCCCCTGGAAACCATCGTGAACAATTTCTGTTGAATTCGTCACGATGGGCTAACTGACCTACTTCATCCTCACCTATCATTGTTCACTGGTGCCCCGCCGGTGTATACCGATAGCGTGGGTGGGGTTACCATTCCATTATCATCCATTAAAAAAAAAGTACTATATATACAATTTTGTAAAGAATACTACAACAATAGTGAATAATATCCAGTGGAATGGAAACTCGATATTGTAGAATAGTATATATAAAGTAGGTAAAATACAAAATTATTAGTTGACAAAGGTCATGTTCTGAGAAATTTTAATCCTTTCAAGACCCATTATTTAACATCAAAATGCCACTGAATGGGACAAATGTAATCTATTCCAATACAACTTAATAGAAAGATAAAATAAAGTTTTGTTGTAAATTTCCCAAGGATATTCTAAATTCAATGCTTTATAAATCAAAATAGTCAAAGAATTATCAGATATTTGACTTGTATTGTATTATCAGAATTTTTTATGGTTGGCCCATTGTACATTTGTTTATATTTTCATTAAGTTACATTGAAACAAACTATAAAATAATGTAGATGTATTAATTAAAGTGCTCTGAGGGCGTAATTTTAAATGGATCGAGGCACGTGTACATTGTAAAAGTTACGCTGCTGAACTCACCGTCTCTGTATGAGGTTCTCCATGATGATGTAGTCGTCTTCCTCAGCACCTCGTAGATGCTCCTTCTCCATGAAGAGTGCGAACTCTGGGTTCGACATTTCGCTGGCGTGGCGCCTCCGTACGGAAGGCGAGGCCGCTCTCGCCGGCGACAATAGACGGGACGTGATCGGTGTTCTGGCGGGAACAAAACGGTTTATTGGATTTTTTTGTTCATTATTTAGTTATTTTTTTTTATACAACTATGGTGTCAAATAAACATAAGGCCCGTCTGATGGTAAATGGCGTTATTAAAAATCTGGTAATTTTAAGAAGTAGTTTTTTTTATACAACTTAGAATGGTATACAAGCTGACGGCCCACCTGATGGAAAGTGGTAACCGTCGCCTATAGACGTGAGCAGTATCATGGACATAACAGAGTATACTGTTTCGCCCATGACACCTCCCATGCATTGCCATTCCTGAGGACTCAGGTGTTATTCCTCTGTATTTAGTAAATTCACGCCATATCCCACCCTTCAAACCGAAACACAGCCATGCAAACTGTGTGTTTGAAACATAACTGCTTCACGGTAAACACGAATGGGACAGAGGTAGATAGATAGATAGATAGATAGATACTCTTTATTGTTTCCTCCAAAAGATTACAACAGTAAACTTATTATAAATACAAACAATCACAAGAAATAATCACAATGAGAAAACAATGGGCGACCTTATCGCTAAGAGCGATCTCTTCCAGGCAACCTTTGGATGGAGAGGAGTAATTATAAACAATTTGGTAGGAGGCATGATAAAAAAATTTGTTAGTTCTAGATATGGGAGATGTAATACATATAATAATATAAAAATTATCCTTACTTATTATTATATATACATATATATACATATACACATACATATACATACACACACATATACATACATATACACATACACACATATACATACATGCATATAAACGTTCACGAAAAATATGCAAGAAATAAGTATGCTAAGCAGACATATAAACATATTAAGGAGATGACAACTTGCTTAAATAAAAGTCCTTAACTTTTGTTTTAAAAGTAACCAGACATTTTATACTTCGTATGGAAACTGGTAGAGCATTCCAAAGCCGTACAGCTTGCACCGTAAACGATTTGTCATAAAAGTTTGAGAAATGTACCGGAGTCTTCAGCTGGAGGCCCTCAGAAGACCTAAGATTAAAAGAATTGACGGTATGCAGGAATTCAAACCGCTCCTTCAGATAGTGAGGGGAAGAAGAGTTGAAAAGGACATTGTGGAGCAGTGAAAGAATGTGAGTATTCCGGCGAAAACGAATAGGAAGCCACTTGAGCTTAGCGCGAAACTGGGAAATATGATCATATTTTCTAAGACCGAAAATAAACCTGATACAAACATTTTGAAGGCGCTCAAGTTTGTTAAGCTGGTTCTCCGTAAGATCCAGATAACAAGTATCGGCATAATCAAGAATTGGAAGTAAAAGAGATTGGGATAGCGTAATTTTGGTAGCAGTAGGAAGGAAATTACGTAGTCTACGAAGTGAGCATACTGATCCGAAAACTTTTCTGCTGACAAATTCTATTTGTGGCCGCCAAGTAAGAGAACTATCAATAATTACACCTAGATCCTTTACCGATACACTGAAGGGGATAACCACATCACCAAAAGTTATAGGTATAAGCGTTGAATAATCTACCTTTTGGATTAGCTTAGGACTACCTACCAAGCAATCGACTTTTGTACAAAGTCTCCCTCTGGTATCAACTGGGATTAGTTATATATATATATATATATATATATATTTATTAGACGATGAGTATTCTAATACTTATCATAACGACAAAAAAAAAATATTTTTTTTTATCGATAGGTATACGACGACAACGTAAAGGTTTTGGCAACTTTATTATGAAGAAACATTTTTAATCAACTTTAAAAGCTTCCGTTTGATTAAATTTTCGCCGCTCGTATCTTTACTAGGAAACATATTTTTGATGAGTTTTTAATGGAAAGGATTTATTCCCATATTGGTTCCATATTAATTTCTGTTAAGATAGAATTCAAAAATTTTTTAGAAAAAAAAGACAATAATTAATTTTAAATTTTCGCGTTGGTGACACGTATTTTAAATAAAATCCACGTTGAAACGTCGGCTATAAAAAATAGGTATGTAAGTACTATTTACCTGTAAATTTGATCATCGCGTTAAGTCTCGATAGTGTTTCAAAAGATAATCAAGTACAGTGAACGCTCTATATAAGCAACATTCTTTATATTTTATTTGTTCTACTCAGCTTAGTTAGTAAAAGAAATAAGTAAAACTATTTTCCGGACAGTAAGTATTTTTATAATTCCCTTTCAACTTTTCCCAATAAGAATTTTTTGAAATTTATTGAAATTGGTTCAAATATGTTGCTTATACAAAGCGTTCACTGTAGTATAATTGCTAATACTCATAAAAAGGGGGAGGGGGTAGGAATTGTTTGTAATGGGGTTTAGCAACCCTATTTCCAGCAATATACTCTGTTATGTCAACCTCTACGCGGTTCTCCATGGAGACCATCGTGGTAGATTTTGGAATTCGTTACGATGGATTAACTGACCTGCTTTTGTCCTATCAACACTCACTGGTGCCTCGCCAGCGTACATCGATAACGCAGGCGGAGTTTCATTACATTGTCTTTCATTACCATCCATTAAAAAAAACTTATAACATAACAATTTTTAAAGTAATCGTTTATATTTCAAAATATGTCGGCAAGGGGGTTAAAAGTACTATCAATCCAAGAACAAACAAATAAATAAAGAAACGAAATGAATTGTCGGGATAATACCTAAAGAGGTACGTTCGCACCGAATTTATGTACTCAATGGTGAGTCACGAGTATGCAGAAGCCTCACCTTGGCGTGTGCGGCGGCGAGAACAATCCATACACGGTCTCCAGTTCATCCGTGATGCTGGTGTACTCGTGCATGGCCAGCAGCAGCGACCTGGGAGGCGCCCCAACCCGCGCCCGGCCGGACGGGACGCCCGCCGCGCCACCTGTCGCTTCCCACCCGCACTGACGGCCTAGCCATGGAATACACATGTTTAGTTTCTCAACACCAATACTATCTACGGGTAGACATACATACACCAATAGTATCTATATACGGGTAGACAGAGTTTTCGAAAATAATGTGCAGTCAATAATATACTCTTTGATAATATAGCTTTCAAAATGTGAAAATTTTTTTAACTTGCTTGAATATTTTTTGAGGTTATCAGTAAACAAATTTTTTTTTTATTTAGAATATAACAGAAGACGGAGAAGAAAGGAGAAAGTAAAAATAAAAAGTATAACGGGTAGCAACTAAAGAGTAGTAACTCGATACTTCAGGGCACAAAACTTTGAGAGCGTCTTTTTAATTTTGTTAGATATACAGACAATCTGAGTAAGCAAGTGAGTAGACATATTGGTGATTTTTTCGCTCGCCTAATATATCTATTAGGTAAGAATTAGTTTTGTCCCCACTACTTTGTATGCGTAGGAAAATGAACGAGTAGGAATATTTTGAGTTAGTAGAAATACAACTGTAAAAACCACATCCAATTTGATGCAATAATTTTTGAATGATGCCGGAGTTAACATACAATTAAAAAATATTGTTTTGGCATCTTTTACTTTTACCCTTACTTTATTTGCTTATACTAACATATACCAAGTAGATAGTTTATTAATTTTTTCACTATTTTATCCTTTTTTTTATTAAACTACATAAAACGAGTTTATTCTAAGCGCTTAAAGTTAAATAGTTTTACCGATTAAAACGAACTGCTTTGCAAATCGCTACTAGAAGCATAAATTCATAGATTAAAAATTATAACGAGATATTTAAAATGTTACTGCAAAGCCTTTTGCTTTCAAATTTTAATATACATAATATGAATGAAAGTGTTTTAGTTTTTTACTTTAAACATGCATCGAATTCGTCAGGTTTTTAAAAGTTTGGCCTTACTTAGATTTATACTTACTGGCCTATAAGGCCAGTAAGTATAAATCCACATAAAAAATTACATAATAACACTGAAAAATAAGACGGGTAAAATGTATGTTTATATCGTATTGCAATTAGTAAAAACAATTGCAATACGATATTGAAAGTCTAAATTAGATAGCAATACTAAAAAAAGTTCTTTCTTTGTAAATTGCGATGCCCATATGCGATGTCATATGTCTTATATACATTATATTACACTGTAACAAATAATCTGTACCATGTGGCATGTAAACAAAATAAATAAATAAAGCCAATACAAAAATTTACCAGTGACAGAGTTATGTACGGATCCGGCGTCGACGGCCGAGTTGTCGGGTTCCGAATGGGTCTGACTGTGCTGTCTGCGCGGCGCCAAGTGCTGGGCTGAGTGATGGCCACCCATGCCGCAGTCGTTGCCGCCCTCTGAACGCCTGTGGTCAGATATCATTTTTTATTATTTACTTAATAACTTCATTTGAATGTCAAAAGTGTTTATTTCTGTGCGAAAATACAATATTCCGAAGCATTAATAACAATAATAGTAACAAAAGATAAAGTTTTATTCCAACAATTAAAAAAACCCGCCTTCGTTCCATTTTTGAAATTATTACTACATTGAGTTCATAATGAGCTAGATACTAATTTAAAGCGAAATTAGGTAATTATTTTTAGTAATTTAATTAAAATTTAAATAAGAGTATTTTTTATTGCATTATAAAATAACAGTGTTTTACTTTTACTAAAGTTTTATTGTGAAAGATAACAGTACATCATTAATTGTTTGTATCTGACAAAATGTATGGTTTACATCTCGTTGTATGCTTCGGCATATTTATCGATAAATTACATTTTGAATGATGTGTTAGTGTGATAGAGAAACTGCTATTCATTGAACTTACCAGATAGTAGGCTAACAACGTGATAAAATTGTTGTGAAATTGGCAAGTATGTACAGTAAAAATATATTTAATTTATAAGTTAGTGATTTAAAAATAATAAATTAATAATTAGAACCATTTAATAAAATCAAGATGCTGCATATAGAAAATCACAATGATGATATTAGATGTTAAAGTTTACATTAAAAAAAATTAATTTTATTTTAATGATTTATAAAGACAGCCGTTTGCATTTTATGTTAAATGTTAAATATTGAAGGTAAACTTTTTATACATTTGCTCATGTTAGTGATAAAGAAGTGCAGTTTCATAAATGGTAACAACCGTTTGTGAGTGTGTAAGCTATACGTATATACAGGGTGAATGAAAAGGTGTACATAGTCAAATTATATGCAACTCAAAAATGTGCTAGTGAAATTAAACAAGCTTAAAAATTATATAAAAAAAAAATAATAATAATTAGGATAATGTTTAATTGGACTTGCACATTTAAATCGCTTAATTTGATTACATACAACGCTACACCCAATATCGTGAAATGATTAATACACAATGATACACTACGTCGAACTACAATGCTATTTACAAGCTAAGCCAATCGCCATATGAGTCTATTTGACTTACTGTTTCCACAACCGTCTCCTAACAGATGCAAGAAGGTAACAAAAAATAAAATTAAAACAATCATGGCGATGATAATTTTGTTTCATTCAAACAAATATAATATTTGCCGATTCGATGAGTAAATGAAAATAAATGGTACTCCAGCGATGTACCCCTCGAGGTGATATAATGTGTATGATAAAATGATACAGCGTTCATGCTTGATGAACATCAATAATAAATATGACTTCATATAAATATCTAATAATGTCAGCAGTTGTATATGTAATACAATTAAGAAAAAACTAATTTATTAACTATATGCCATTAATATAATTATATACCCATTTCGCTGTAATATATCTTGGATAGATTTGATACTTATTTCATCACCTTTTAAAGATATTTTTTATTTGAATTTACTTCAAGAGCAAAACTCATAAACTCCTTTATATTGTATTAAATACCTTCCATCCATATTATATCTTGAGTTTAGATATTCTGGTTTCAGTTACCTTCAAGTTAGAGAAATGTACCTATTCAAACATTTTAGATTTCGGTTTGCAGTTACTTCAGTATGAATTAACTACACTTTGGACAAATTAGTATCTGCATATAACCGATTTCATATTATTCCATATAATTGCATTAGTAACTGAAATTTATCTTTATTCCTATTTAAACCATAATATTGGATCGTAAAGGCGATGATTGAACTATAACTATAGAATCATGCATTATGTAGTTAAGAAAAATAGAATAAAAAGACATATAGGAAAGTATAAAAGAAAGACTAGTAAAGCAAAGAGAAGAGAAAAAGCGAAATGATTGTTTATCTTACGAAAGAGTCTTTTACTTATATGCGAATATAGAAGGAACGAAAGTCATGTTTTGAAGATAATTCTGAATAAAGGAGTTAATGTACTGTATCTACTTATGTAAAAGATGTTTATGCGAGAGAGGGGTGAATATGGAAATGACGTAGCGGAAAACATACTGCGCCGACCCCAAATAAAGGTGTAAGGGTCAAGAATGATGAATTGACTCGATTATTTCCCTTATATACTTAGGAACCTTATAATTTTACAAGACGGAAATTGAGTAGTTCGTGAATTTCTTTCGTAAACACATAATGTGAAAAGGTCTATAATACATTCAGAAAAAGCACATTTTCCAATGTTTTAGTTTTTTAATTCGCTGTAATTACTACGAATTTTGTAGCAATCGATAAGTACCCCCCCAATTGTAATATGTGATTAATAGTAAAGTAATAGTTATTCAAAAGAAAAATTAACTTATTAATAGCAAGTTTCTTTTATGTATGTGCTAAATTTTAAAAGGTGATGCCGTAAGTTCTGACAAAAAAAAACTCTTATAGTCTATACACTAGATTAAAAAAATACATTTTAGCCATTGGATATTCCCTGAAAATGTTAGAAATGAGTATGATCGTGTTAACTCTAAAAATAATAGAAAAATAATATAGAATGCATACCGTCTTGTGTTGGCAGTACGTCGAGTGCCAGCTGAGGTGGTGCGAGGACGCAGGCTTTGAAGATCTGAAGGCATCTCGCGTACTTCAGGTAGGAAGGCGTCGTCGGTTGATGATGGCACTGTGTGTGTATAAAATACTTGAATTTTAGTTGAAGTAAATTTACTTGTTATCGTTATTTCTAATACTAATAAAGATATAATAATGTTTAAGATAACACAGAAATGAGAGCTAAGGGAGACAATGCACAGGAAGGGTATGCGCCCGTACTTAAATTTGGCCTAGTATAATGATATTGCTTTACCTTTCTTCTCGTCACTTGGCTCTGTCCTATTGCTATCGGAAGATCGTTGCCTCGCGGGCGTGATAGGTGGTTGAGGTCTGATTACAGTCACGTCTGGACCCGCCACACTGCCGCCTGAGGACGAAGAGGCCGAGTCGGCTTCTGGTTCCTTTTCCGGCCCGACTTCAGGGCCTGAATGCGCAAGTTCGTCCTGAACGGAAAATATAAAAATCTTTAATGATATGTTTTTCTTTTACAAGTAAATTATTGCTACTCTAAAGATAATTGTGATAGAAAAACTGGTGAATATTTTAAAGAAGAAAAATCTAAATTTGCAATGTTGGTCGTGGTAAAAGCTTGTACTATTTGTGCCTAAGCATTAGAAGTGTGTAGTACTTAAACATTGTCTGAAGGAAGTGAAACTTCTTATATTTAGGCTTATGTACTGCAATGTGATGTAAAGATACGTTATGAAATGGTTATAAATAAATATGTTTACATCTATTATTATTTATTTAAAAGTTTCACTTCGAAAAAATTTCAGTTTACATTAAAATGTGGAAGCGTGACGAAGCTGTGTATGAATATAGAAGAAGAATTTTAAAGTGTAGTGATATTGAAACAAAAAAAAACGTCATTATGAACATAAGATATAAGAAATGTTAACTATAATAATAAATGAACACAACAAAGGTAGATTGTAATATTGTTACATGCACATAAATCGACGTGTACGCAAGTGAGGTGAAGAGAAATTTTGATAAGTAAAGTAACCCGAAGTATTTCTACTTTGGGAAATGCTGTCTCACACGACATGTAAAGCACTTTGTGTAAATAGTTGTATGGCTTTGTTTGTAGGCCATTTGCAGCTGGACCGTCCCCGGTTCCAACGGTCATTAGGTTGAAAACTACAATGTTTCACTCAACTTATATTATTATATAGAACTATGCCGCGTTTTACTGCCCAAACTTGCGAAGAAACTGAACATAAGGACAATGTCATAATTTACTTAGAAATAGATTTTTTTTTTTATTACAATACAACTTAATAATGCTGATTTATGAAACGGATTTTTGAAGAATTTACAAAGGCCAATACGAGAGTAAAGCCTATAGTGCAAAAATTATTATGAAGGTTGTATAAAAAATAGTGAAGTTCATAAAAAACATAGGAGAATTGATAAACTTACTTTTTGAAGGTTTTTAAAAAAATAATTAAGTTTTTATTAAAATTATTCAATTAGTTTAATTTATTAACGGTGCGACCTGACACATTTAACTTTTATATTTCAGTTATAAGAATATTTAAGTCAGATTGAGCAAGGTTATTTCCTTTAAAGTAAGATATTTAATATATAATACGTATTAATGAAATATTTCATATTTGGGTCCAACATGCACATGTATGTTTAAAGTATTTCTTACATTTAAGCAAATTCTAATAGAATATCAGTGTGCGACTGTTTCAAGTCGAAGGCAAGATGTATTTTTATAATCCTCGCAAGTATATATAAACGAATAAAATATAGAATAAGTAAACGATAAAATACAACTACAAACTAAATTGAATATAGGTAGTGGTAATGGTATTTCAATAAAGCTCGGCGAAATGCCAGCAACTCGATGCCTGTCGATGACAACAGTCGACAAAATGCTTCGGATCACACCATTTGTGATAGTTAGGTCTTTAAATTTAATATTAAATCTGTAAATTCGACATTTTTAAAATGATTTTGCTTATACGAGTGTAATATATTAGTTTTAATGTAGTTTTATGCTAGTATATTAAACTATTCTGAATATTTAACCATCATGTTTGTTGTATCAATTATCAACATAAAATAAATTTATGTTAATGAGTTCTTGCAATTTGGTTTATTAACATATAACATAATAAAAACAAATTTATATCAAACGTTGCAATATGTGAATTACAAATAAATTAATATATCCTTTGCAATTATAATTTATTTATTTATTTCCTATGAAAACCTTACATAGATACTTGTGGTATCTATTCATCAAATCGAGTCTTTGAAATAAGCTACTACTTAAAAGTAATTTACTTAAAAGCTACTTTTACTAGTAAATAATTTCACAAAGTGAAATGCACGCCTACATTGCAAGTACACAACGTTAAGTAACATTACACTTCAAGGGCTCAATAAATTTTGACATTGTCCTTTACTTAAGGAAAATCAAGAGAGGCAAGCGTAAAGAGGTAATTTCGTTTAGGCAGCGCGAACACGGCGCTATATCGGATGGAAGAGCTTACGTCGGAGGGCTGGGAGTCGTGCTCGTCCTCCTCTTGTACGGGCCGGACGGCGAAGCGGGCCGCGCCCGTGTCGCTATCGGACAGCACCTGCGCGCCACCATTGTAAGCCTAGTTCACTGGCTAATACATTAGTCGACTATTTAGTTTTTTCCCTTTATTGTTTGATAAAAAGTCTTTACGATCTAATGTATTATTCGCGCCATAAATCAATTTAAATATCGAAGTGAGTAGCAATTTATTATGATTGAAATATCATTATCATCTTGTAGCTTGACAATTCAAGACGTCTCACTAGTCTTACTAGTCTTCTTTAGTTGTCTCTATTATAACGCTAATCTATTCCTTATTAAAGTTTATGCTTACAATTGGAAAGTTTCTTTGTATTTTCTAAATGGATCTAAAACTACTCGTATTATTTAAAATAGCTTAAGTAGTTCTTTCAAAAAAATAATGAAGTCGCAGTCTTCTGCAAGTCTTATCAGAAAGGAGTCTCATATTTATGAAGTCTGTGCCATAGTCTAGCAATAGATAATAGACTGGCAACCTGTATAAACTATGTTTTTGTAACCGTTAATTTTTATAATTTTTAGAAAAAAAAATGCTAAATAGTTAACAGATTTAATTTATCATTTAGAATAAAAAAAAGTTTTTTAGAAATTTGACAGGTAATGCAATCTATTTCTAGTTACAAGTGTACATATTAATTATTGGATAAGAAAAGACTAAATAATCGACTGAAATATTGGCCTAGTGAATGAGGCTACAGCGACACTTCTAGACGGAGCATATTCGGTGCTGTGACATCGTCGGGAGTGAAACAGTACTACTTTTAATAAGTTTTATCCTGTTTCCAGATGTTTCATGTTCAGACGGAATGTAGGTCGAGTTTGAATTTAATTAAAGCTATAATCACATGCTAAGTTTGCATGCATTATGCACACAATCATGCTACACATGATAGTCATGAATAGAACTAAATTTGAAATTATGTCTTTATAAAAAAACTTTATGAAGAAAATACAAATTATTTTTCGAGACAAATAAAATAAAATATGTCTTGCCTAAAATTCGTGAAATGCATTAGAGTAAATAAATATTTATTTGTAGTTTTCCATTGAAACTTCAACCAACGTGTTGCGCATTTCAAATTTATAAAGGTTTCAATTTGCATCTCATCGAGTGAGAAGAAAGTGTAGGCAACGTGCACAAGATGCAAACGGGAACATAAACGAGTTACTTATAAAAGCAAATGCTGCCTTCTGGATATTGAATTTCTTCTTAGTCAGTACTGAGCTGAGGTTATGAATTGGAATAATAAATGCACGATAACTCCGAATGATGTCACATTACCCAATGAAGCTTAATATAAATTGCCAGAATTTATAACGTTCACCAATTTTAGTTTAATGCAAGGCAATGTTTGTAATGGAAGATAGGTAATCAGTTGAAGTTATCAATAAATTGTAAAAGACGATAAATTTAACAATAAATCTTGGCAATCTATAGAAAACACAAAACACATAATGTAAAATGAGACATAAGACACTGATAATTGATAAAATCATGCCGAAACGGGAAACAGAGTGTTGAAACGTTAGTACATTTGGAAGCATACTTGAAGAGTTGAAAACATCGATTTGGTAGAAGATAAATGGTAATTACTTTAACATTATTTCTGAGACTGTTTATTAAGATTAGAGCAGATAAATATTTAGTAAATAAGACATCAAAAAAGAGGTATAACGTGTAATTGACAAAAATTATAATTATATATAACTTTTAAATTAATATTTCATAAATGGTATGTACTTGTAAAAAATACCTCTTTGTTTTTTTAAAGGATCCAGCTTTTTGGATATCAAATGGGAAAAATTTATCTTGGTAGTTGGAAACGCACCTCAATGCCTAATTGTTTTTTGTCTATATATATATGATTATAAATATAAAACCTTTATACTGGCATGTAACCTGTATAATGGTTCAGAATATTCATTCTATTGTGGCATTCTGTTTTTGCTAAATCAGTGTGATCAATATTGGAGATATCACAATGACTGGCGGTTTTTACCCTCTGACGTTAATCTGATATTTCCATTGTCGATCTCCATAATACATTTTATCTAAACGACTTATATTTTAATACCACGTCTATCTAGCAGTAAATATTTCATAAAGTTATAAGTTTGAGACTGAATTAAATAAATATTAATCTAAATAATCTTGCTTTATATTTATAAATATTTGTTCAGTTAACTGAAAGCTCGTTAATCGAGATAATGGTTTCGAGAGAGCAATTAATATTCATGGTTATGAACTCTTCTTGTATGCCGTTATCCAAAAGATCTTTGCACACAATATTGCTACGTATCTCCGTAGATATAAAGCTTAAACTATATTTATATGAAAATAGGCACCTGTTATACAATAAATGCTTGACTTGAGGTGATTGAATTTTACGATTCTGTAAGTTTCTAAAGGCTTCGTTTCAGCGAGATACTTTGCAGTTGATAAAGTTTATTGGAAATTTAATCTTTTGCCGTTCATAATAACGAATGGTTTAAAAATATTGAAGTGTCGTACCTCGGATCTGTCGCTAGCGGTTCTAAGCCTGCAGCCTCCAGACGAGAAAGTCGGTGGTGGTGGTCCCAGGGTGTCTGTGGAGCCTCTATTTACAAGCGATGGGTGAGTTGCCATGAATCGATGTATGACAGCTAAGTGATTCATAGTCTGCTCCGCCGTATCTTCTAGTTTTCTTAACCTAAATTCTACACTCTGTAAAAGTAAATGTAAAATTATATATATATGCACTATTGAGAATTTTTGTTCGATAAAATATGTTAAACATTTGAAATCTGAAAATGGTTTTATTCTAATAAAAAGATTTTTATAAGTCGTAAAAATGCGCATTCTTAATTTTATAAAATTTATATATAAGATCATGAACAGTTTACAAGGAGATATTTAAAACTATAAAAAAAAACACAGAACAAACTTTTATGTACCTATCTTATTCTTTTTTTTAATAAATATTGTTGATACACAAACTCAGAAAGCGTTGTGTACTAACTTCCTTATTTACATAAACGTCAAACTTCTTATGGTCCTCTATCTACCGCTACCTACTTTAGGTATTGAACTGTTTTGTCTCTCTCTTTTACTTTTTTATTTTTAAATTCTCAATTGGAAAGAAGGTGACAAAACAGTATAATAGTTAAAGTAGATACATAGAAAGTTTGATTATATCCGTATTGTTTTACAATTTAGTTCTTCTAGTAGAAACGAATGGACTAAAATCCGTTCTGCTCTACTAATAGAACAAAACAGACTAAAAAAGCTAGTTCTATAAGTAGGAAATAACAAAGAGGAAAATTAATTTGCATTCCAATTGTTCAACGATTTAGTCCCACTATTTTTTATAACAAGGAAAGAAATTTCTTCCCATTTTAGTTTTTATGAATATGTATAAAAAAAAACAATATTTTCTACATTTTTTTATACAACTTAGAATGGCAAACAAGCTAACGGCCCACCTGATGGAAAGTGGTAACCGTCGCCTATAGACATGAGCAGTACCATGGACATAACAGAGTATACTGTTTCGCCTATGATACCTCAACATGCGTTGCCATTCCTGTGGACTCAGGTTTTATAAGTATTATAAGTACATAAGGTATAAGTATTTATACATTTATTATGAGTACTTATTTCACATAATCGTATTTTACCAGTTTAAAATTTCTAACACAAAATACTTGTAGTCTTGTATGTTTACCTGTATTGATTGTATTTGGCAATTAGCTTTCTGATTTAAGTCTTCCATTTTAGTCGTGATATGTTCTACCTTATCAGTTGTATTTCTTACTCTTTCTTCTATAGAATTAGATAGTTTTACTTCCTGGAAATATGAGCAAATACATGATTTCTCAGCAGAAAAGTTTTTGCTTTAATGGAAACACTTTTGGCGTGGGGTTGAATGTAATATTTAGTATTTACATTAAGAATTATAAAATACTAGCTGTATCCTGCGGTTTCGTACATAGTTGTATCGTTGTTGAATAGCCTATAATTTTTTTTTCGCTTTGCGAACGTCAAAATATGCGATATAAATGAAACATAAGCGGTCGTATCTTTTGATTGCGTCGATTTAGAAGTTTGATTTTTTCACTGCTTTAAGATATTGCAGACCAGTGGGTCATGAATTGAAATTTCAAAATTTCGGACTCCATTTCGTGTTTTTGTTCATACCAAAATCGAACCAATAAATGGAGTTTAACATTTCGTTTGTCATACATTCTATCATAGAAGTCCAAAGGAACAATATTTTAACATTTTTAATATTTCCAAATGGCATGTATTATGTAATTTTAACATCAAATTTGTGTTTGGTTTGGCTCCGAAATTTCGGAAAACATTTCATGGTAGGCTCTTTGAGTACATGATATTAAAGAGTTCCTTTTTTTTTGGAGGTAAGGAACCCTAAAAGAGAATAAATATTCGCGGTTTAAAATTATTTAAATAATAATTTTAGTTGTTTACAGTAGGTATAGGTACTTTTATTAAATTACTGGTCACAAATCCTTTTTAAGGTGGCAAACAAACATACAGCCCGTCTGATGGTAAACGGTTACTGTAGCCTATGGAATATTAATGAGTTAACTAAATCACTAGCCACTTAACTAAATTACCAATTAAAATCTAGGTCAGACTTACTTGTTCCCTAAAGTATCCCTCAACGCATTCTTCCTCGAAGTCGTAGAGCCGTTCCATATCCTCCTTCTCGAGGAACAGCTTCAGTCCATTGTCGTACTGGAAGCGTTTGTGAGAAACATTCCTCGTAACCCATTTGCAGGTGGCGTATATGTGGCAGAAGATGATTAATGGTGGCGGAAGTACTGGCTTCTGCTCGTACTCCATCACCACAGTGAACCGTTGGAACATCCACACCTGAGAAGTAGGTTCGCTGTTAGTTTCGAAAACTGATGCAAAATCATTTATCATTATCTTACGTAGCTAATAATAAAAGATTATTTATTAATTTATAAAATACGAAAAATAAAGAACAAAAATAAGAAACTTTATAAAAATACAATATACATTTAAAGATTCAATTTACCTAATTTATTACTAAAGTAATTTTCTAATTCCCTTGATTATATAGACATCCTATGAATTTATATTATAAATGTGAAAGTTTGTAACGATAGAGAGGTGGATAGATGTTTGTGACTCTTTCACGCAAAAAGTATTTTTAACTTAGCGTAAAGGATACTTTATGTATTGATTCAAGCGAACGAAACCGCGGGATACAGGTAATAATTAAAAGTAAGACTTCGTATTTTTCTTGTAAACCGCTGGATGTTTCGTATAAACCGCAGGATACAGGTAATAATTAATAGTAAGACTTCGTATTTTTCTTGTAAACCGCTGGACGTTTCGTATAAACCGCGGGATACAGGTAATAATTAATAGTACTACTTCGTATTTTTCTTGTAAACCGTTGGATGTTTCGTATAAACCGCGGGATATAGCTAATAATTAATAGTAAGACTACGTATTTTTCTTGTAAACCGCTGGATGTTTCGTATAAACCGCGGGATATAGCTAATAATTAATAGTAAAACTTCGTATTTTTCTTGTAAACCGCTGGACGTTTCGTATAAACCGCGGGATACAGGTAATAATTAATAGTACTACTTCGTATTTTTCTTGTAAACCGTTGGATGTTTCGTATAAACCGCGGGATATAGCTAATAATTAATAGTAAGACTACGTATTTTTCTTGTAAACCGCTGGATGTTTCGTATAAACCGCGGGATATAGCTAATAATTAATAGTAAAACTTCGTATTTTTCTTGTAAACCGCGGGATACAGCTAATAATTAATAGTAAGATTTCGTATTTTTCTTTGTGACATGAGAATATTGTGAGGAAAGGACAGGTTTTTAGTATATGGATACTAGCGACTAACCCCGGCTTTGTTTGATTTTTTGAAAATAAAACATAGCTCATGTTACACGTTAGTGACGTAATTTTCTACAGGTAATAGAATATTTAAAATCGGTTAAGTATTTTTTGAGTTGGTCCAATTCAAAAAATCAAATCTTTCAGTAATATTTAATATTTTTATAATAAAATACAGACTTTTATTGCAACAATATTGGTATGGAATTAAGATGGAATTAAATCTTATCACTTGCAAAAAAATCAACAAAATCTATCCACATCATACACAAAAAAGTACCGTCAAATTGAGAACATCTTTTTGAAGTTAGAAATATTTCATACTCCATGCAGGGTCAAAGAAAGTATTCACAACGTTCTAAATAACAGATAAAACTAAAATGCACTGAAGCTTAAAAGCCACTGTAATAATAAACAAGCTCTCTCGTTAACAAGGTACTACAAATTTAATGAGCATTTTTCTTCAGCGTCAGTTATATATAATTAGGGTATTCACTTTAATAAATAGCTTCATTCCATAATTATATTACTTTCGTTGTCTTAATAAGCATCACATTAGAAAAAAGAAAAAACAAATATATGTTACATAATTATGTGACAGAATCATCAGAAGAAATTGATGTAAAATTGAAAGAAAAAAAAAATTTAAATACCTCTCGTTGTTAAATTTAGAAATTTAACAACAAATTATTTTTAATTACAAACTAATCAATAAAAATCACAAGTCTCGATCCCAGCAACATCTAGTATTTCTTGTCTAATTTTATTTAGTGACCAACAACCTTAATTCAGATTAAATTTTACTGCTTTTTTTGTGTTTTGTAACATATGAAAATTGTACAAATTCGCACTTACTCGCGGAAAAAAGTAAGTGCATGGAAATATTGTGTTCATCCATCCATAACAACAAATTAATGTCTCTTGACTTGATACAAGTCTCTCTTAATAAGACGACTATATTACTCTACTAACGCGCTGCCTGCGGTTTGATGCACCATAGAGTTTTTTTTAAGCAACTTTGATTGTACAACTTGTTCAGCATTTTCGTTCTTGTACCAGTGTATTATATATTTTTTTTAATTCCCTTCTTCTTACGACATCCTGGGTATGAAAGTTTTGAATACTTACGCGGAATTAAATTCGCGCGGAAAAAACTCGAGCGAAAATTTTGTTCGTCAAGTTACCCTTATCGTACTTTCAAAGTTTTCATTACAAAAAGAAAAAATGGATTTCTCAGTTAAATTCTTTTAGTATACTTTGAGAATTCTGCCACATGCACAAAGTAAATTAAAACAAAAAAAAAAGCAAAAGAAAATAAATAAACCTGATGCGAGATTTCATTGACTTCGTTAAATATATTATTAAATACGGCAATGAGTAGGTTTATGAGCAATATGTTGGCGACGAGCAGGTATATCGTCATAGCGATGGGTGTGATCCACCGGCCCGTGACGCACTTCCTATCGCTGATGTCCAGGCCGCACTCGGGATCGATGTCCGGGGCGAACACTTCGCCGTACAACATGAAGTACGGCTGGAAGAATACCTACAAACAACGTTCCCCGCTTGAAATAAATTTTAATATAACAAATCAAAAGAAATTAAGTAATTAAATTAAAATATTTTAATAATACAAATAAAATTGAATACAATATCTACAAAATGATAGCAAAACTACATATAATTGTAAAATATATAAATGAAATTAATGAAACAATAAACTAAACAGTTGACTCTAAAAATAATAATAAACAAATGTATAACTAACTACCTAATAATGAACCAACTGCTACAGATACCGTTAAAGATTCCCTAGAAACCAATACAGGTAAAATCTCGCAACAGGCCAGCAAACTAAAATTACAACATCGAGACTACAATAACGAGACAGTAAAGTCTGTAGCCGCAAACCTGATGCGATACGCCGTTGACTTCAATAAAGATGTTATTAAAGACGGCTATGAGGAGGTTAACGAGTAATATGTTCGCAATGAGCAGATACACGCTCATGACGACGGGCGGCACCCAGTGCCCGACCCGGCACTCTTCGAGGCCCGGTAGCCCGCAAGGAGGTGCCATTTGTTCCGCGAATACCTCACCGTACAACATGAAATACGGTTGGAAGAATACCTGGAAATGTTAGTAGTGCAAGAAATGACTAATGATTTGTTAGTTTCTCAGTACTGACTTGAATATTGATATGCGTTTGACAAACATAAATACTCTTTCCGTCTTAGTCGCAAAAACTAAAACCTTATACAAACAATTGTTTTTGTCTTTATCTTTCAAATTCAGAATTTAGAGTAAAAGAGAAAACACTTTAATAGGTTTATTATGCGTTTGACGTTTTTATGACTAAGGGGTAAATATCTTTATAGGGTAGACAGGAGAACAGTGTCAATGGCCTTTATGTATAATATTATCTATGTCTTAAATACGTATAGGAGATGGTTCTGAAACTCTTAGATTAATTCGGCACCATCACACCACCTTGGAACCATTTGCATAATATTTCTGTTTTGTTTCAATAACAATACATAAATGCACAGAATTTTATTTTGGTATAACATTAAAGTGATTTATGAATTACAAGTTTACATAAATAAATTCGACTTTAATTTTGACAAATGTAGTGTTGGATCAAATCCTATCGACTGTAATAAAATCAATTGATGGAGATATTATATAATGCTGATGTCGCTGTATGGTCTTTTACATATGTAAATGCTCATAAAAAACAGTCCAATTGGTAACTTGCTCTTGTTTGGAATCACCTAATAGGGAGGTTAAAAATTTGCTTTACATTAATCCTATTCTTAATGTCCAAAGGTGCCTGGAAAAATGCCTGGAAGAGGTCGCTTTTAGCGATAAGGCAACCCATTGTCTTTTCAGAGTAACATTTTTTGTCATTGTTTGTATTTATAATAAGTTTACTACTGTAATCTTAAGGAGAAAATAATAAATAGTTTCTGTCATAATTAAAAGTCTGTTGAACAGACTAGATCATCAATATTATGTCCTTAACATGTTTATTAAACTTATACGAAAGGACTCATAATACGAGCGTGTAATGCGGCTTTTTTACTCCGCCTAAGTAGATATATAGTAGATATACATACCTCTCTAATGAGATACCAGCTAGCGTCCTTATCTGGATAGAGTATGGCCTGTCGCGCCACACCGAACGACATAAGCACCACTAATAATAGCACCACGAAGTATATCATATTTTTAACCATCTTACCCATCATTGTGACTAGAGGACCTGCCATAGACAAAATAAATAGATGTATCAAATGAAATTACAATTATTGGAATCCTTTTATATATTATAGTATTTTTTTTATACTACTTAGAATGGCAAACAAGCTGATGGCCCACATGATGGAACCGTCGCCTATAGACATGGACATAACAGAGTATACTGTTTCGCCCATGATACACCCCATGCGTTGCCATTCCTGAGAACTCAGGTGGTATTCCTCTGTACCCAGTAAATTCACGCTATATCCCACCCTTCAAACCGAAACACAGCCATGCAAATACAACTGCTTCACGGTTGAAACATGAATGGGACAGAGGTTCCCAAGCAATCCACTTTTGTACAAAGTCTCCCTCTGGTATTCTAATAGTGTTACATTGAGCATTTTTGCAAAAAAAGTCCGAAAAAAGATAATAATTTTGAGACTCCATTGTGATAAGGCGACTCCTGTTTAGTCAGAATGGAGGATAAACATTTTTGTCGTTTGCAAAAGACTTCTATTTCAATCTATTAGATTTATGTTATTAAGACTGACATATTTAAGTTAGGTATAACAGATCTGTGGAAAATTGATTGAAGTATTTCTTGTAACATCTAATACTAGAAGGCAGTTATAACAAAATGTTAATTCAAATTAAAATTCATAAAATAAATAATAAATATTATATATTCCATTAAATACTGCTAATAAATCTAATACTACACAACTTTTACTAAGCAAATTCTCATTTAAGCTTTAAATTATAAACTAATCTAAGTTAGTCTTTTATAAAAATGCTGTTCCTTTGCAGTTCAAGTTAATTAAAATATGCCAGTGGAAATTTGATATATGAATATGCTTTAAGAGATTGCTAGTTAATAAAATAAGTCCATTTAGAAATATAGTCCGTTAACGATATTTCAATTATATGAAATATATTTAGTATTAAAATTAATATATCCGCAGATGAATAATATCTAGATAGAGTCGGTTTAGAAATGATTTTACGAGTAGACATGCTTTCTTGGAAGAAAATGTAATTAATTAAATAAATGTATAATAAAATGTAACGTAAAATGTAATTAAATAAATTTACAAAAAGTAATTAATTTTGTAACTGGTGACTTTCTTCTCTACACAAACCGACATTTTGTTTACAATTATTTATTATATTATCAATGCTATATTTTCAGATTTTCCTATCCTTACGAAAAAATTAACACATTAGTCAACAATCCGACGGTTTCCTTTACTGATTGCTTTTCTCACTTCATTAAGATATATATGAAATGAAAGAAATGAAGTGATATTTATTTGTCAGAGACACTTTTACATCGATTATTGATTCTATGAATCACACACTAGGCATACAAACTAATATTGCGTAATTAAGATATGTGATTTAGCCATAGTGTTATATTAAGTTCTCGTCTGACATATAAAGATACATACATGCAAACTATATAATTACAGTGAGTATCAATATTTTATATACAGTTTAGTAACAGTAGCATTTTTATTTCTTTCTATTCACCTGTAGGCAATAATAGTCGAGCACTATGTCATAACAAGGAATTTATTTTCATGACTGTACTTTATATGAGCAAAACAAAAAACTAGTGTTGCTTACCTAAGTACTTATTAACTCCCAATATATTCAATATTCTTAAGTACCAGTATATGATATCGACGCAGTATATGACTCTACCGACGTCCATAGAGCCGGCCCTTAGCCTAAGGGTGAGGCCGACCAGAAAAAAAATAATAAAACCGGCATCATACGTGTTCCACATATTCCAGGCCCACACACTGAACTTATGTCTGGAAAAGAAAATTTTTGGTAAATAAAAAATGAAGGCATATCATAACGTAATAATGGTCTAATGACTTCATTACTGTGACAGTCTTATACTGTACTTATAATAATTTTTTAGCAATTTAGAAAATCGCAAACAGGCCGATCAAATCTGGTGGAAAATATTAACTGTTGCATTTGAAATGAAACTTAGCCTTGTTTTTATAAAATAAAAAATATTTTGTCGTAAATAGTTATATGAATGATAAAATAAGTCCAAGTGTAAATTCTGTATTTGTAAACTGGTAGCCAATCTATCTTTTAAAATGTCGCCGATATCGATCAGAATATAAACGGATTGATATTTTCAATTATGTGCTATCTTTGTAGTTACATTCAGCAAATAAAGTACTTGATTGATTGATTAATTGATTGCTTTCAGACATATATAGTACCATGAACATTACATAATACTAAACTTAAGCACTTTTAATAATTCTGGTACATAACTTTTATATAATTGGCTTAGATTAATAAAATTTAGACACAGTATCTACCGTTTAAATAGTGAATGCTTTACCAAAAACAGTCTAGTTATTTTTATTATTATATGAATGAATTTTATCATAGACTTACGCAACTTGTCAGTGTGTGTTTGTATAGGGATACTAAAATATTATAGTTTAATACTGGCAACACTTAAAAGTGGCGTTTTAATATTGATGACTGTTTTCGAGAGGTTATTGACATAGACACATAGCTCTATCTAGATATATATGGTCTACGACTACAGGATTTATATTTAGCTATTTATTAATTATTCAACTAATATTAATTAGCATTAATATTATAATAAATATAATAACTCCTATATGTTACAATTTGGCAATGTATTTAAGTGTTCTGAGTCATTAAGTAAATTTTGGCATATTGGTCTAGACTGTCTAAAACTTATTATATACTTCTATTTGAAACAGGCATTGGGGAGTTATTTCAGTAATTCAACAGTATTTTAATTATTAGGAAACTTGAATTGGAGAGTCAAAGTAAAGCATTCGAGCCAAGTAATATTTGCATTTATATGGAAATCATTACTTGAGATTAATTTGTGTTTGTCTTTAAAATTGAGGACTAACAGTTATAAATGAATTATTAAATAATTTAATTTTCCAATATTTTGATCGTGTATCTATAGGTTTATAGGAGTAAATTTTTTTTTTTTTTTTATATTACCAAAAATGATAAACGTGATGTCAACTAATTGGATGGAATGCGATGATATGGACGTCAGATAACACAATGTGCTTCTCATGGTACTTACATTATGGTACTTCTTGTATCAAAAATTGCATCCACTATAAATAATATATATATATATATATATATATATATATATATATATATATATATATATATATATATCATTGAAATGAAATAGCAGAAGTCGTGTTTTGCTATATAAGGTGTTGTTACGATTTTATTTAATTAATAAAATTTATAATAAAAAACATAGCGTTGTTGTTCCGGTATAGAATTACCCACCCCTTTCTTTCCCATGGGTGTCGTAAGAGGTGACTAAGAGTGAGCGAGGGATGGGCAACAGAGTCCCTCATAAAAAACATCAAGGATTAACTGCGGTTGCCAACCTGCCTGCTGAACGTGGCAACCGCTTGCAAGAGCCCTTTTTATGCTAAAACGGTATATAGTAATAAAAAACATGTATTTTATATTATATATTGAGCTAGTATATATTATATTATTATATCAATACAAATATAGTAAAGCAGAAAAGTTTCTTAGTTTGTTTTATTCGAATGCGCTAATCTCTGCAATTATAAGTTGGATTTGAAAAATTCTTTATGCATTTAATAGTTCATTTCTTGAGGAATATTATAAGCTATTATTATACCACTATACAAGTACAGGCGAAGCTGCGGCGTACAGCTAGTTATCACAGATTTACATTATTTGTCTCTAATTTATTCAGCTTGAAATTATATGTGTAAATTATTTTATTTGGTACAAAGTAATTTCTCCGATAAATATTTTATTAGTCGAGGTTGATGGATGAAAATGGAATGGCAGTCCCACCTGCGCTAAGGGCATACGCTGGCGGGGCACTAGTGAAGAATAATAAGTGAGAATGAAAAGGCAGGTCAATTAGCCTATTGTGAAAAATACACTTGGAATACAGCACGATATTTTCCAGGGGAACCACGTGGGGGTCGACCTGCTAACAATGGGACATGTAGTCCGCATTACTAACAATCCCTTCCTCCCCTATTATTTGAGGTTGGTGTTCTTTTATACATTCGTTACAACGTTATCAAATATGTTAAATAAAATAACTTACCTAATAGCAACTGGTTCGGACGTAATGATTTCTCTTATTTTCTCACATAAGAACGTTAATATATAACATATGGAATATATCTCCGGCCAGGACGGCGTCGGGGCCATCTTGACTAATACTGTATATGTAAACATCAATAGGAACAATATATAGGCAATCTGAAAATAAACAAAAACAATTAATTTTACTTTTACAATCGCACCTCTCATCATCGGCAGGGAATCCAACCTCACACCTTAGAACCAGAAAGTACACGCACAGTGCGGTTTTAAAGGAGCTTCCTTTCGCATACACTAAGTTTATGGAATGATCTTCCTACCGAGGCTTTCCTTAAAGACTACAGCATGGGGTTCTTCAAAATGGGCGTATTAAGGTCTCCTAAAGGTTGGCCACGCGCGTGTGACATTCCTAGTCTTATAGACGTCCATAGGTAACCCCGTTTACCGTTGCGGATCGTATGCTTTTTTGTCATCATAGTAGTATAAAAAAAAATGAATGTCCATATTAATTAAACTTAATGATAAGATTATCAGGTTTTGTTGAAAAAATCCAGAAGTTTTTTAAACTAATATTATACAAAGACATTTGTTTTTTCTTTGTTTATTATAGATAAAATAAAAATAAAATATCCGATTTTAAAAATTCACACTTAAATTTATTTATGGAAGGCTACATTATTAGTGCATAATATGAGCTATATTTCATTTTCAAGTTAACCATGTGAAGCCGGGCTGGGTTGCCAGTGTTTTACAAATAAAAAATTCTTTTATCACTAGCTTTACGATTTCATGACATAGTGACTAACACAACCAAGCGTGAAACGTGTGGCAGTTATCGATTACCACTTATTAAGGAAATTAGGACATGCAATAAAAATATGTAAAAAAAATGTAGGTTAATTCAATTATTCGTCGTGTGGTCCTGGCCCTTCCTTTCCCGTGGGTGTTGGAAGAGGTCAAGGTTAGGCAGCAGCGTCTCTTTTAAAACATCACCAAAGTTTTATTGCGGTTGCCAATCAGCTTACAAAGTGTGGCAACTACTGTCAAACTCTTTAAGCATGAGGCTTATGTTCAGCAGTGAACAGTTAACGGTTGATATGGTGATGATGATGATGAATCCAATTATTAATATTAAGCAATTTCATAACTTTTAATAATTAGAACCTGTAGTTACTTTTATAACACGGCAATTAATATTTGACTTGATATTTTATATACAACCCAGAAAACCCAGATCCGAGCCAATTTAAAAAAAGTATGATTCCAAATTGATCCGACTGAGAATTAAATATGGGACTTGATTTACGCACAGCAACGTATTCCATACTCCATGTTATGCCACGAAGGTCGTCAAACAATCAATATTGTTTCATAAAATTTACCAGAGGGGAACTTTGTACAAAAGTCGTCTGCTTGGGTACCTCTGTCCCATTCGTGGTTCTACCGTGATGTGTTCGTATGGCTGTGTTTCGGTTTGAAGGGTGGGATATGTCAGTGAATTTATAGGGTACAGAAGTATAACATCTTAGTCCTCAGAAATGGCAACGCATGAGGGGTATCATGGGCGAAATAAAATACTCTGTTATGTCCATGATACTGTTCATGTTTATAGGCAACGTTCACCATTTTCGATCAGGTGGAATGTTTGCTTGTTAGTTAATCTAGTTGAATAAAAAAAAAAAAAAACTAAATAATCGTACTTATAGATAATTTGTACCTATGAGTATTTGTGAAAACTGTAGCAACTGAAGTGTCAGAACAAAAACATTTGTATACAAACTTTCACTGCCATTAAAAATGGAACAAAGGCATATTTAAATTATTTATGGGTGCGAGTATTAAATTATTCATCAGTGAAGTCACGTATGGGCTACATATCATTTTATCTGCGAATACACAGTGTATAAAAATGAAAACAGAAACAGAGGAAATAATTTCGTTATATCTAGAGTGAATGGACGAAATGAATGTAGGAGTAATTTCTAGATCTTTACTAGTAGATGGAATGTGATAACAAGTTCGTTTGTTTGTTATCTTTTGGTACCTTAATATGTAGCTTAACTAATTGTTGTGAAATGTGGTATCCCCATAGTGTTTGAGATGGAGAAGAACATAGATTGCTTTATTCCAGTCCATCAATATTTTCCGGTCACCCAGACGAAGCCGCGCGTTAAGTACTAGTTGTTAATATTTATTTATTTATTTACATTTTACTGCAACGTTAAAAAATAATAAATACAGTGAATTTTAATGAGAATTGATACAAAAGGCGGCCTTATCGCTAAGCAATCTTTTCCAGACAACTTTATATAATTAATATTTTTCATATTAATCTTTGTAAATTTTCTATCTTCATTTGAAGATAAAAATATACATGTTAAATGTATACAAACATCAAAACAAGCTTTGATCGAAGTCCAAAAAGATGAGACGAGATAATTAATATTTTGTCGTATTAATTCTTAAACAAGATTATTAGATTTGGGAAGATTTATTGCCTTGTATTGTAAACAAGAAAAATAATGGTCCTTGTCAAAGGTCGCTTTGTGACTAAGCTAAAAATGCCCTAATGTACGCATGATGAAGCACTCTCAGCCGGGCTTTTCAATAGTTGCGTGCTACCTTAAAAGCTTAGTGGGTTCATGGTACTCGAGTATACGAGTATACTTGTACAGAGCCGATTCAACTGTTATTAAAAATAATACAGTTATAAAAAGTTCTTAATATTTTTTCATCTGACTTACAAAAAGACGCGGTTCTCTGATTTACAAATATTTTTCAAAATTATAATGTTAAGTACTAATATGTTATTTTGTGTGTTTGTTTACGCGATACTTTCGATAATTTTGTACTGATTTGGATGATTCGTTTTTGAACTACGTCATTTGTTAACCATTTTTATAACCTATATTAAAATGATATTACTTCTTTAAGATTTTTAATAAGCCTGTATTTTTTGTAGATATGTTAGAATATTTTCGCTTGATTTTGAAAACTGCATTTGCATTATATAAGGTTTAGTTCCCTGTTTATACTGTATTAATTTTTTTAAACACGAAGCATGCTGTGATTGCCTCTAAATGTAAGAACAGTTAGCCTTAATCCACTAGTGTTTTGTATCGAAATGTTTCGTTGTATCATATGTCGGTGATCCTATATGATAAATAAATAATATAACAATAGGAATTGCAAATTTTTTGCGCAGTGCAATCTTAAATCAAGCATTAAAAAATATTATGTTATTTTTTATTTCAAAGCATTTATTTCTTATTAATTTCATAGTATTTTAACCAATGCTGAAGTCAGTTTAGATTAATTAAAAAAAAAAGCAAACTTAAACTGGATACTTGCTCACTGTAACTCTCAGCTCGTAAGTACGATATATTACCGTGAAGTTTGAACTTAGAAATAAATTTATGCTTTTGCGATGTAGGAACGATGTTCTTTGATTAACCCATTGCTTGTATTAACATGTAAGGAATTTATAATGCAGTGCCTTCTCAGACTGATTACATTTACATACAGTCTAAATCCTTACATTACTCAAGCGAGATTGAATTTGTTTGAATAATTGACATAGCATTACTTATGTATTTGGCATAGTATTACTTATGTATTGACAAAAAACAAATTAAACTTGTGTATGTGTGTGTAATGTGTGTATGTGATAGTTAAGAATTTGCAAGAATAAGAAGTATTACAATTCAAAATTCGAAGATATTAAGATTTTCTTTTTTATTATTCGTGTCAATATTTCTATAACATTTCCGCAACATTGCATTGAAAGAGTTAAATGTTTAATGCGTATTAAATGGAAAATGTTTAATATTATTTTTATTTTGCGTCATATCCTGGCATTGTAAATGTAACCTTGATTTTGTTCGCTTCACACAAATTACATTTCATACCATGAATATAATCAGAATTTATTTTCTTTATATTCTCGCTATTTGCTTTGTATCTTTGAGTTTGTAGGTCGTTGACCTGCCTTGTATAATACCTTACTTTAACATACATAACATAGGTATGTATTATGTTTCTTTTTTCTTCTAATCACATATTTTTATCTTTTAAATTAGACTTGTTCCAATTTGGTTCGGTTTTGTTTAAATAGTTTTCTGGCAGTCTTAAACTAGTTACCATAATATCAAATTTAAGGCGACTAACAGTTTACTTATATTTTAAAAAATATTTTTACATCACATTTGCACATAATTATGTTCTATAGGGATTATCTTTTGGAGGACGGTACAACGATAAAGTTGTTTATCTATCAGTAAAGTTAAAAAAATTTTGTCGGAATAAATAATAAAATATAGGCTGTAGATTAAAAAAAATAAATTGAAAGTGAATAAAGAAAGTCGCTGCTACATAAAATATCAAGTTAATGATAAGCCTTTATAGATTGAAGAACCGATGTAAAAGTAAAATTAAGATGAAAATATGAATTATCAAATTTAATTGACAGTTGACGAAAATGTAGCGTAATTTATACAAGTCAATTGAGAATAACATTTTTTAAAAGGCATTTAAAAATATAGCTATAATAAAGTATATTCATAGTTTTTTTTTATTAAAGATAAAATGGCAAACAAGCTGACGGCCCACGGATGAAAAAATAGTAACCGTCGTCTATAGACATGAACAGTATCACGTTCATTACAGAATACAACACGTAAGAGGGACCATGATACCCATGGCGTTTCTAAGGACTAAGATATTATGCCTCTGTGTCTAGTAATTTCAATTCCATAATTCACTCTTCAAATATAAACACAGCGGGGGGAAAGGGATTGTTGGCAATGGAGTTTGACGGCCCCATTGCCAGCAATATGCCCTATTAGGTCGACCTCAACGTGGTTCCCCCTGGTTGAATTCGTCACGATGGGCTAACTGACCTGCTTGATCCTCACCTATCATCCTTCACTGGTGCCCCGCCGGTGTATACCGATAGCGCGGGTGGGGTTACCATTCCATTATCATCCATTAAAAAAAAAATAAACACAGCATGCAAGTACAGCTGCTTTACAATTTTTATTGTTTATATACAGTAAGAATAATTAAATATTAATATAATAATGAATAATTAAATTTGTATATTTTTTTTATACAACTTAGAATGGCAAACAAGCTGACGGCCCACCTGATGGAAAGTGGTTACCGTCGCCTATAGACATGAACAGTACCATGGACATAACAGACTATACTGTTTCGCCTATGATATCCCCCATGCGTTGCCATTCCTGAGGACTCAGGTGTTATTCCTCTGTACCCAGTAAATTCACGCCATATCCCACCCTTTAAACCTAAACACAGTCATGCAAACACAACTGCTTCACGGTTGAAACACGAATGGGACAGAGGTACCTAAGCAATCGACTTTTGTACACAGTCTCCCTCTAGTAATATATATAGGACGCTTACGATAATTTGGACGCTTGCTCATTTAATTTAATCCAAAGACATATGTAGTACAAAAGTTAAAATCATAATCGCTTATAACAGAATAAGTAAGTAAATATACATAAGTAAATTGTTCATAAACTCGAATTCCTGCTGGGTGAACCCGAAAAGACTTCTTTGATAAATTATCAAAGAAAAAAGAGGTCCCCTTTCTGATTTTATATGCCGCGTTTTTAATTTATGGTATTTTGGAGAAGTTTACCCATGCAAATATAAAACCCTCCATCTTATCATTTATTTTTAAAGATATTTTTGCTTACAAACAAAAATGATATTAAATAGAAAAATTTAAAGGTATCAAAGTGGTTTTATTTAACTTAAAGGTTTTTGTGAATGCTAAGTTTAAATATGTTTACAAACTTTATAGAAATAGTACATATAAAGTTATAATAGTATATGTATGTATTATGACATTTTTATTACCTACTTATGATTATTAAAATTTGTGTTCTTTTTTATTTGCGAAGCGTTGTTATATCCATTACTAAAAAATACATTCCTTTTTATAAAGTTAGCTTTATTGAGAGTTACTGTTATATAAGCTTTTTTAACTAATAAAGTATGTATACTCACAGAATCAGCCCAGAATTTGGTAATCGGCGCCGTAAAGAACTCGTAAATTTTCTTCCTGAGCCGCAGGGGTCTCATCCGCTTGTCCTCAGGCGCGTGATATTCCGGCAACTCTCTGTACGATGGCTCCCATCCTATTTTACCAACTTTCCCATTCTGATCGACACGAGTTTCGCATTCGGCCCCTGAGCCAATCAACGCCTGCTTGAGTCCAGACATATAAACATTACAACCATATGATCACACCGTAGAATTACATCATAAAATATTTCCATTGTAACAAGAATTAACATTCACTATATAGAACATATTGATAAGCTCAGTTTGCTTTTGAGGTTAGATTGGTAAAAAATTGAAAATATTACAAAACATCCAAGTTTTGTTAGTTAAGTAGTAAGTGATTAGTACCAAAAAAATATATATATAAAAATATAATATAGAAAGCGTACTATTCAAGCCAATTGATAAGTTAAATATAATATGTAGTTGCACCATAATATCCGGACAAAGCAAAACATCACAAGGTGGCTAATAAAATACCTATCAAGTTATATCAGAAATGCAGACTGTGAACATTTTTCCAATAAAATTAAAGACGAGAACAAAAAAAAAATGCAGTGTCATAAGAGAAAGCGTCGCACGAATCGGCTTAAAAGTTTATTGCAACGCCAGAAAAATAGTTCCACATCAATTTGTAGATTTTAACGACTCAACTATTGTTTTAAGAGAAAATTCAAGTGTCACCGTCAACGTTCATGATCCACCTTAGGTTTCGGGTACTTTATAATATTATTTCAATTAATTACCGTTCTTTTTAATGATATGTTAAAAACTGTAATAAATTAAATATAAAATAAAACAGAATGTATATAAAAAATTGAATGAATTGTAAATTTATATGCTCAGGAAAGAGGTGTTTTAAAGGTAGAGTGCTATTTCTGAAGGTGAGCCATAAACCGATGACGTGGCGCATAAAGGACCGAGCGAGGTACTAAAGAAGTGAACTGAGAGACTGAAAGTACATTGAAACGCCACGAAAGCCTACTTTCACGCAAAGCCATAGACGAATCGATTTTACAACAGGTGGCATATGTGTGTGCCAACAAAGTAATACGAACACATTACAGCTTCGGCTTACTTAGTGCGTTTGATTTATATATAAAGTAAGTTTATAGTGAATTTAGTTGGCACAAGTGTGTTTATACGATTGGTATTTTGATCAATTTATATTCAATTCTCTTTCTTAGAGTTATGATCTAATATATATATTGAACTTGTTTTAAAAAATAACAAATAATTAACGTTTTGTTACTAAATAATATCAGGTTAATGTTTTTGAAAATAAATATTTCGGTTAGTGAACAGTATTAATATATTTAAATACAATTTAATCTTATTACAAGTATAATTTGATTTTACAAGCTATAAGAGATCACAACTGACCAATTCATTGTTTTATTTATTTATTTTTAAGTAGGGTCGAATAGAGCGTTTTAAAAACTAATTTCTATGGTGAACACACTAAATTTATATTGATCATACATAGCACACTGTAAGCTTTTGCAACAATAATAGTTTTTTTTTAACTGGCAACATACACATTGTGTTCAGACAGTGAAATTGTCTAGTTTTATTTTTCTATATGAATAAAATATACCAATTATCTGGAAAAAGCTTATTAAGGATATTGGCGATTTTAATCAAATAGACATGTATAATGTGCACTGTGTTCGTATCACACGAGACCACAACAAGTCGACAGGCGTCTACCTTCGGTGTTTTACTCTGTTGCCCTGGAGGAATTATCTTCTTGATAGAAAGCGTGCGCCTTTTCACAACGCCCACCTATATTATGGAATTATGTAAATCCCTTATGTAATTTACATTTTATTATTACCTTAAGTACTATTTCCTATAAGATCTATTTTAGTTTAAGTAATTATCTGAAAGCAACTTGCTGTGATAAAAAACATGAGTAATATGTTTTTGATGATGTGTTTGTAGTAAATGAACTAGTTTGTGAAGGCAATAAAACTATTTCAATAGCCAAGCATATTCTGCAGGCATCCCCCACCACGTGTGTTAATATAAATCATGTATATATATACAACCCTTTAAAAGCAAGGTAAGCGTCTAAACACGTAACATTACCTCGACGTCGTTGGGGTCCTTGGTGCTTCTATCGTCCTCCATGCTCTCGTTTTCAAGATGCTCTTCCTCTGTCTGGGGCATCAGCTGCAGCTCTTCCTTCGACTTGAACTCCAGTTGGAGAATGTAGAGTGGACACAGCAGGCTCAGAATTACCTTGACATCACGACAAAGCCGATGTGGCAAAGGAACTGCTCGGTCGACGCTTAGTATCACTTTGACTTAAGCATTTCATGCCACGTTTAACTAATTGAAAGGGGTGGGACGTCGTTTACGCGAAAGTGATACAGCCAAGACATAAAATAAACAAGCGTAAATAATAAATAGAGGTGTTTGTTATGTTGTAAGGAGACCGAAGTGTAAGTGACGGTTGAAAATGATGTGGTAGATAATGAAATATTAATTGATTTAAATGCGCCTTCGATTTCTCTTAGACTTTCGTACATTGATGCAAAACAAAAATAAAATTTAAATAATTATAATAAACCATATAACGAGCAATGGGATTTTCAAAAGATACGAAATGTACATAGCACGGAAGCTTAGGTCATAGTCATTCATTTCTTAACTGTACAGGAATTTAAATTTATTTGTTCTTGGCCTTCATTTGCATAATCGGCGTCATCAATTCAATCGCATGCAGTATCAATTTATGAAGCGTCTCATTGACTGACAGACATCAAATATCATTGTAATTACTCATTAAAGTTTACAGTTAAAATGTTATTATCTAAACCGTGACCTCCGCTTTGTGAAATTGCCAGTTCTAAAAATTACTATTCTACTATATTGAGAATAATTGGTTTCATTAGAACAAATTTTTATATTTTATTTAAAATAAATACTATACTGTACGTGATTAGCAATGGGTGGCAAAATCAATGCAAATGGAGTATCACGCTAACACTGAATCTACAATGCACGTGCCTATTAAGTCTGTGCAATGACAAGACGAGAAAAGAGAATAAAATCTATAAGACGATTTACATGTTTTTTACCTTCAGATTTGTATTCTTTCTGGTCCTGAGACCGCCCATCCAGAGGTCGGCGAGTATAATTTGCGAGCACGGGTGAGCTAGTAACGCCCGATGGTTCGCTGCTACAGCCAAACTCAGACATGTCTGCCCAGACCAATTTTGAAGTTCACAAGTCAGAAGTTGTTGAGCTTGATCGTCGTCTTGGCGATAGCAATAATCCAATAATTCCAAGGCTGCAATATTAAAACTTTTATTTTCTCACTGTTTCTAATAGTAATGCATTCCCCATTACTAGCAAATATCCCTGTCAGGTCGACCTCCACGTGGTTTCGCCTGGAAACCATCGTGGCCAATTCTAGTTGAATTCGTCAGGATAGGCTAACTGATCCGCTTTCATCTTCATCAGTCATCTGTCACTGGTGCCCCGCCTGTGTATACGGATAGCGCAGACGGGGTTACCATACCATTATCACCCATTAAAAAAAAAGTAATGTATTTAGCTACTGCAAATCCAGTTTCTGACGTCTTATCAGGAGCAGATATTAGAATATATGCTTGGTATTGTACTAGAGATACTTTCATATTTATAGTACTAAATAGCTACTTCTTCACTATTTTATTTTCAAGTATTCATTTTCTATGTACGACAATAATGGTAAACAGTTGTCTGATCGTAAACAATGTTTACATATACGATTAATACTCGAGCTTTCATTTATGACCTCCTTAAACGACTGAAAAGGTATTTTATTACCTGTTTTCAATGAATCTTATTTTGCTGTAGAAATTAATTTGATATGTTAGTAATTTTGGCTTTTGACCATAAATAAATATCATTGTTTTGCTCTTTTGAGGGCAAAGCAGTAAATTGGGTTGTGACCATTTTGTGTCGCTACGGCACACTAACGAAATGAAAGTTTATGTTAATTCTTTTAAGTATTTTCTTTTTTTTTGTATATGTATTTTTCTCTTGCGTATGTGTATATCTACAATAGAATTTCGATTATCCGTATAATTATTTTATAATTATTCGGGTATTTCGTATAATCGAAAATCCGGATCGATACGATTCGAAATCGATTTCTAAGTCGAATCAAACAATATGTAATTAAATTTTAATATTTTTTTTATTGTGTAAAGGGTTTTACATACATCATTTAGATAGTAGGATATAAAAAAAAATACGAGCTATAAAGATAATAGATTACATAATACTATTTTTAAAATCGGTAATTGGAGCCGTGGAAAAAAGTCCGGATAATCGAAATTCTCAATATTGTTATTTGTGTGCCGTAAGTAATGTGAATAAATTATAATATCTCTCTATCTATTTTATCTGAAATTTAAATACTGTAACCTAACCTCAAGAGAAAATCTATATTATTAAATTACAAAGCCAAATTTGGGAATTACATCTTATTTGTAATAATTTTATAGTACTCTAATACTAACGAATAACTACATAAACTGTAACAATGTTAGCAAACCAGCAATTAGCTAACTTACAGCAAACTGTCTAACAGCACTGCTGAAACCATTTCGAGCTATCCGAGTTTACAACTAGGGAAGTTTACAAGGTGATAGCAATACCTGTGCAGAATATCAGTACATGAACTAGTTCAAAGTAATATTTCCAAACTACTATACTTGAGTGCTTTACGTATTTTTTAAAAATTTGATATATATTTATACGAACTTATCCATACCACCTTTTCATTTTATATTCTACATTTGAAGTTTCTTTGTTTTATGCAACTTGGAATGGCAAACAAGCTGATGGCCCACCTGATGGAAAGTGGTAACTGTCGCCTATAGACATGAGCAGTAACTATGGACATAACAGAGTATACTGTTTCGGCCATGATACTTCCCATGCGTTGCCATTCCTGAGGACTGACTTACTTTAAGTTTACTGAAATGTATGAATTTTTTTCTATATTATAAACTTTTCAGATTTAGTAAGTTTTTTATACCTTTACGAAGATGATGTAATTTAAGTACATATTTGATCATAAATTTAAATACAATAATATACAAGTACCTTTGATTCCCACCTAAAATTTCATCGCATAATTTTATTCATTCATGATCTTTGAATTTGCGAAGGGTTATTAAATATTATTACATATATATAATTATTTTACTATACCTTTATTTTCAAATTCTTTCCCATAATGTCTCAGCTCCTCGTAGACCTCTGTTTCCATGTCATCTTCAGCAGCCTCATGTGCCATGGCTTTGTACAATTTGCACGCGACTAATGATTTAGCCAGCGCTTCCTCGCCATGTGTCCACATCAATAAGGCCATTTGGTGTCTTTTTGTCAGAACTGCCCACATCTGTATTAAAAAAAAAAATGTATAAATTTGCACTGTTTCATATATACTTCATCTGCAATAATTTATTAAATTGAAGTAAGTTTACTGTCATCAGGAATTTGTATTTTTTTTTATATTTTTCACAGCATAGAAATTACAATGAGACGTATTGTATTGTATTTTTAGTAAATATTTGATTTTACAGATGCCATGTTTGATGACTATTTTATTTTTATTTAATCGGTAAAACAATTTTCATTAAGTTTTGAATTGAAATATGAATCTTAGGTTATCGATGACAGCAAACAATATTTGAGGTAATTAAAACGCCTGCTTAACTGATCGATGTAATAAACGACTGTGTATAATTTTTTTTCAAGTATTTACGGTTTGATTGCAATTATTTTTAACCGACTTCAAAAAGAAGGAGGTTCCAAATTCGGTTGTGTTTTATTATGTCCGTCAGTTCTAAACTGATTGGAAAATTATTTTTTTATTTAAAAATATATACTTACAGATTGATCTCATAGATACATTTTATCAAAATCAGTCTAGTAATATTTTTTTTTAATTAAAATAACTGGTTTGTCACATTTTAAGTCGGTTTTTTTGTGCTTCATTGCAATTGCAATTTAAATGCTTCATTTATATTAATATATGTATATTTTAATTAAATCTCTATCTAAATAAAATTAGTATAATTGTTAATGACCTTATACACTTACCAGTAACTCGTTGAACGGATAGTCGAAAAGCGCCATCTCGGTAGTGACCGGCATAAACCCGGTGATGAGCGAGAGGCCGCCAGCGTTGTGGCGCGTGAATGACGCGCTATTGCGGTGTACGTTGACGCTTTTGTTCATGACTTTAGCGTAGATCGGACGGAACTTGCGGCGAGTGTAGTAACACCTTTATCGATGTAATGAATTAGTGATTTGCAACCAACATCAAAAAAAGAGGAGGTTCTTGAATAAGTGGCATTTTTTTATGTTTGTTACAACTACACTTGAATACTACTTTTTTATCTGAAAGGATATAACTATATTTTCAGATTGATTCTATATAATCCTATAAAATATAGGATCCTATAGAATCCTCATTAAAATCTGTTCAGTAGTTTGGTTTTTAATTAAAATAAGGTTTGCCACGACTGAAGGCGGTGTATTTTTAACCGACTTCAAAAAAATAGGAATTGATTGATACTCTACCAACGTGTACCGATATTGCACGATACCATTCCAATATCATCTCATAAAAATTCCAACAATCACTACAAATAGATACTTAAATAACTGAAATCGTGGATTGTTCATTAATGATTAAGGTCAATGATAATAATGATTGGAAATCGGAATTTCAAATACAATGTTGAATATTGGAAAATGGCGATTAAACTCTCAGGAGACAAGTCTGTTTTCTAAACCGTTACTGAGGCAAAGTTTAGAACTAGGAAATGTACATTAATATTTACACAGTTCTATAGGAGTTTAGCTTAGTTTAGCGTAGTGTTTAGTATAACACAGCTTATACAGTTATTTATGTTTGAACTACAATATTTCACCAACGTACAGGGAAAACTACTCAGGCTCACTTAAAATAGCATTTAGAGTTTTAATTAATGCAATGAGTTAGGAGGTATGGTTTGCAAGATATTTTTTTTTTATAAAAATGCTCACGGCATTTTTATCATCAGGTGTTAATTAAATTGTCATCAGGTGATGATAATCAAATTATTAATATTATTAATGGAATAAATATTGGTTTGTATCCTATATTCTTTATTGTATAAACATAGTGATAAAAACATTTAATTTTAATATACTAAGACGAACTTATCTCTAATAAGAGATTTCTTCCGGCAAACTTTTTTTATATGAATTAAATTGTTATTTTAAAATAAAGATTTAATTTAATAAGGCAGTTGTACGATTTGTGTACACTACAGTAAAAGCCCATAAAATTATTAGCATAAACTTATTTGTAAGTATATGCAAAGTATAATATAAACTACATATTAATTACATAAAATACAATAACTGTGTAAAAATATAAATATTAGAATAAGTAATATATAAATTAATTACAAGTGATAAGTGTATTGTACAGGAATTGAGCCCTCAATCATTGGAAGACGAAGCAGTATATGCTACATCACCAAAAACGAAATATTTTTAGCTATGTTTACTGTAGTTAGATTTAATTTAGTTTTTTTTTATGAACTATAGAATAACAGGGCCACCTGATAAAAGGCGGTTATGGTTGCATATAGACATGACTAGCATCATGGATAACACAAAATACCCCTGTATCCTTTGGTGTGGCTATTCCTGAGAATAAAGTTGTTATACTTTTATTCTACATATAAATATAAAAGTTTTAGTTTAATATGGAAATTATACAGGTAAACTTACCTATAGGCTCCACCCATGAGCTTATTGATCACCAAGCCGATATCATGGAGTGTGTACACATATCCCCTAGGCAGATGTGGTCTAACATCTCTCAGGATATACCTCAAGGTATTACTGGGTCCACTCTTGGTGTTATACAGCTCTTCCAGTCGAGGTATGGTGAGAAACTTTCTCATAGATACCCCATTTTCTAGAAGCAGTTTGACAAAGTCTATTCGGTCGTGTTCTAGAGCTTGCATCATTGCTTCGTCGAGTGCACCTGTAGGAGATAAAGTTACAATAATTTGAATATAAAAAATAGGAATATTATAAATGTTAAGGTGAGCTTATTTGTTATCTCTTGGAGTCTAAGTGGCTCAATCAATCGTCTTCAAATTTGGTATACATGTATGTACTATATCGAGTGGAGAAGAACATAGTACTGTACTGCTCAGTTTGCTCTCACTTATCAGGCTATTTCTCTGCTCAATTCTCTGATTGCTCAGCAGTCAGATATTGATATATTTAATGACAAAATAGATATATTTTTAAAATGTTGTATAAAATTTTTAAGTTTGTAAAATAAACCTATGGCTAACTACACGTTTTGGGAGACTAAGTGTGGTGAGTAATTTATAAATAAATAAATAAATAAATAAATATGCTACTTTTATCCCTGCCAGTAAATACACGTATATCCATACTGATAAGTGCCGGAATGGACTTGTGTCTGAAATCGAAACTTCATTCGTTCTAGTTTCGACATGGAGCGAACACAATTTTGTTTACTTCTACCCTAAATAGACACAAGTCTGCGTGTTCATCGCAAAAAAGACACTGTTTGTCGTATTTCTTCAGTTTCAAAGCACTCCCCTGATAATAAGTCGAGTTTAGGGATCATTAGCGTTGATATATCCAGCGACGTACAGTTTTGCGGTCATTTGGAAGAAAAGGATAAGATGACCTCCAAAGTGTTAGGAGTACTCAATAGAGTGAGACGGTATTTCATTACTTGCAATTGCATAATGCTCAATGTTGGCCACATGTGACATATTGTTCTCACCAAGCAAGATGATGAAAGCAGAGAGCCTACCATGAAATATTTTCCAGAATTTCGGGCACGAATGAAACAGAAATTTGATGTAAAAATTACATAATATATGTAAATGTAACGTTTAAAATTATTAAAAATGTTAAAATATCATTCCTCTGGACTATTAGAATATATGATATATAGGATTTATGATGAATGAAATGTTAAGCTTCATTTACTGGGTCAATTTTGGTACGAATAAAAACACGGTATTGAGCCCGAAAATTCGGAATTTCGTTTCATGGTAGACCACCAGGTCCATTGAGCAATTGCGACGAATTCAGTAAGTTAACTAAGATGGTTTCTAGGACCACATGGGAGATCGACCTGATGGGGTATATTGCTAGCAATGGAGTCAATAGGAATTATAGTATTTAATGGGATTTAAGTTATTATTAATAAATATATTGTATTTAATCTGCGTTGCAATTACACGACATTGGTTTGTCACAAATGGTGAATTTGTGGCAGTTCGCAAATAGTTTCCGTTGTTAGAGAGTTCGGCAAGTTATTGCTTGACTACGATTATTCATAGTGAGTAATCAAGTATTTGTGGTTACAGTTTCGATTCTCAATGTCGTTATTGATGTTATATACGTATAGTTCTACGGTTTAGTGGTGTATTATATTAGATATGAATTAAACTTCACTAAAAGATTTTAATTGTATGATGTATATTATGTATGTATGTTGTATGTATGTTACTTATATATGTCAACATATTTCATATTTTTTAATAGAAACATCTATAATGTTTCCGTCTATTATTGTACGCATACTGCCCGCTAATAATTAATGCTCCTTTCCACTCAGGGTTTGCTGGAAGAGAACTCTTACAGAGTTAAGCTCGCCTGTTGTACATCTTTATTTTATATATATATATTATATGTTATAATTTTTTCTGTGTACAATGAAGAATAAATAAATAAAAAGATCTACGTCAATATGGTATAATTAATAAAATCAATTAAATTTACTTTACTTGAATGACAAATGTGCATGGTGTTAGTCGATCAAGCACGGGTTTTTAACGACCATGTAATTTTAGATATAGTACATTTAAATAAATACATATAATGTTAATAAAGATTTAAAAGAGTAACTGTTGTGTTTCTTGCGAACTCTTCTCAACAGATAACAACCTTCCGAATCCTGCAGTAGATTAAAAAATAATAATAATTTAAAAGTGCTTGTAAATAGGTCTATTTGAATGAAGATGATTTGTATTTAAATTTAAAGATTGTATTTTACAAAAACAGACTTCAATTATGATAAAAATAGTTATTTTGGTCTAAAACTAAATTACTGAACCGATTTGGATAAAATTTTTATGGGACCAGTCTTTAAGTATATCCTTTTAGATAAAAAAACATTCCAAGTTTTAGAATTGATGGAGTTATGAGCTCAATATATAAAAAAATCAACTGAATAAAGAACCTTTTTCTTTTTGAAGTCGGTTATTAAATAATAATAAATAATTAATATACATAAATTAACAAAAATAATATAATTAGTAATAATCAAGTAATATCATTGCTATTTTTTTAAATGAATAAAAGGCGGTATGTACGAGATATTTTGTAAACATATACCGTCTTACAACAAAAAAATATTTAAAACAGTGTTTAACAAAACTCTAAGTATTGTTTCGTAAATACAATAATATTTATTTATTATTTTATGTTTCACAGACAAAATTTATAGATTGAGAAAATTGATTACTTTAAATAACTCTTATTTTTAATAATATACACGTTCTTTTGTTTAAACATAGACAGATGTTAAACATGCTTTTGTAGTAATATGTCTAAACATGTATTGAAAACTTGTCTATTGCAAGTTAACTTTTTGTGGTAAGATTGATTACGTTTTAAATATTTCTAATTTTAAATTTAGTCAATCGATTATAAAGAGAATTATCGAAATCTGTTTAAAATTATCTAATATATCATATGGCGTGAATTTACTGGGTACAGAGGAATAAATAACACATGAGTCCTCAGGAATGGCAACGCATAGGGGGTATCATGGGCGAAACAGTATACTTTGTTATGTCCATGGTACTGCTCATGTCTATAGGCGACGGTTACCACTTTCCATCAGGTGGGCCGTAAGCTTGTTTGCCATTCTAAGTAGTATAAAAAAAAATAACATAATAGAAATCAAAAACATAAGTATGTGTATTTAATAATGCGACAAATAAATGATGATAAGGTATTATTTTTAAATTTTTAACAATAAAGTTTTGACATTGAAATATTTGTACTGATAAATACATTTAGAACAAAACTCAATCCCTAAGATATATCATTACTAAACACGCTTATTTTTCGCTATTCCGTTTTTTCTGTAAACACACAAAAGGTATAAGCGTTCACAAAAAAATATATATTTTATAGCTCACGAAACTAGGTCGTAACCTAGCCGAAATGTGTAAAAAATGGTAATTTACAAGCTAGAATGTCTACCGCAACGCGTAAGTACTGAACATTTACGGACTATATTTTAGAGGCGACCAGCGTCATTTACCGGTATAGAATTGGCTACATCTTCCTTTCTCGTGGGTGTCGTAAGAGGCGACTAAGGGAGGACGAGGGATGAGCAGCAGCGTCCCTCTTATAGTATCACCAAAGTCTAAATGCAATTACTGGCAAACCCGCCAAAGAGAAGGCCCGTTTTCAGTAGTAGAGAGTGAACGGCTGGTATGGTATGGTATACGGTAGCGTCATGAGACTGTCTAATGGGGTATCTACTGAATAATAGTCAATATTTTTTATATATACAGGGTGACATACATACAATATCATAATTTTTAGTTAATTGTATACAAGTGAAATTAAATATTTTTCCAAAGATGAAAAATGAAAAATGATGATGAAAAATCGACAAATGTATTACAATCTATATTAAAAAATATTTATCTAAACTATAATGTTATAAAAAGAAAATATTTGATTGTTATTTATTTAGTTGTTGCTTGAGTAATTCTGTCTCATTCGTGTTTTTACCGTCAAGCAGTTGTGTTTGCATGGCTGTGTTTTGGTTTGAAGGGTGAGATATGGCGTGAATTTACAGGGTACAGAGGAATAACACCTGAGTCCTCAGGAATGGCAACGCATAGGGGGTATCATGGGCAAAACAGTATACTCTGTTATGTCCATGGTACTGCTCATGTCTATAGGCGACGGTTACCACTTTCCTTCCGGTGGGCCGTCAGTTTGTTTGCCATTCTAAGTTGTATAAAAAAAAAGCAAAAGTAATATAGAGGCTCCAATTTCTTTTGTCGTTTCTTTGAGCTCTCTTACTTCAATTTCACAGGTAGAACACTCCGTTAAAAGGATGCTAATATATCCAATTTCATCCTGCATGTACCCTTTTTCTATTTGGAAAAATGATACGTAAAAGTTTATATCGCAGAAAACTATCAAGTGTCTACTTTATTTTAGATGAAACTGGATAGAGTATCCACGAGAGTACTCGTTCTTATGAGTAAAGTAGGTGGAACATAAAAGTTATTTTTCATAAGGTAAGATACAGAAGTAAGTTGCATTTTTGTATGTATTACATTTCTATATGTATTTAAAAAAGAAATTTCATCGTGTTTTATTCAATTCAATTTATTTATTGCATTATATAATATGACTATAAAAGATCTTAATAATTAATAAAGTATATTGTAGATCCTGTCAGGCACAGTAATTAGAAGCGAGGAGGGCGTCGTTTTTAAATAAAGATTTGTAATTTTCATAAAGATTTCAATAATTTTCATTTAAAAAATAAAAATGTAACAATATTAAATGTATTATTATTAATTTGATAAATGATAAATTTATTTATTTTCACTTGTTATAATTAATTAATTTTTAATCCAAATATTTTTATATTATAGTATTATAAACAGTTTCATTGGAGATCTACTCCTCTCCATCCAAAGGTTGCCTGAAAGTGATCGCTTTTAGCAATCGTTTATAGTAATTGTTTGTATCTATAATAAGTTTATTATTGTACTTCTTTGGAGGAAACAATAAAAAGTATCTATCTATCTAATTTAAGGTTATGTTGACCTATTGAAAACTCGCATTTAACTTGACAGAATTAGTATGTGATGAGAAATTAATATTTTCAATTAAAAAAATTACCATAAGAATCGTTACTGAAAATTTCCAAATTGGTGAAAATATCGCATT